CGGTTACACCTTCATAAAAATTTACCAAAAGTTAAATACCAGGTAATATCGCAAAAACGGTATATCGTTGGGTGGACTGTACATTCTTGGAATGACATGAATTCCACAGAACAGAAGTAAATTTAAATTGGAAGTTTGAAGAACGTTCAGCATTATCTGGTGTGGTTGCTGACCAGTAATCATGAACTATCATGAATAAAACTAAACAAAAGTTATATCCTTTCAGATATCGATTTATGATCAAGGAAACGACATAATGGGCAGTAATCCGTTACTTGGGTGTTGCACAATAGGGCCCAAAAGTTCGGGCTCTGGCAAGGAACATTGGAACGATATGATGCAGAGCCCTAGGAAAACGGTTTTCTGTTGGCATACAATCAGGTAAACTGTTCCGATAAATCCGCAGGATCTGATTTTTGCGAAGGCGGTAGGGGACATGATTGGGGATTTGAAATGCACATTGTGAACAGGGAAATTCGTAACTCGATAATGTAGCAAATTTCCTGCCAATAGTCTCACATCGAAATTTAAACACCAACCACCGGCAACTAACCGACCCCTAATATCGTATACACATTTTACAAATTTGGAGATACGCGTTAGACGGGACGCTTTTTTGAAAATAAAATGGCTTTTATAAAAGACAAAGAGTTTGAAAAAACATCCAAATCGATATTTATATAAGCTATATTTATATAATTGCTAATTGAATCCCTGTATCTTACAAAAATTTACATAATTCTGTCCCATCGTCATGCGTAGGGCCTAGTTATACAGTGAAAGAAATAGCATTAAATTATATCACATTTTAAGCTTATTTCGACTGTAACTGCTAGCAATTATATTTCAGAATTCTTGCTTACTAAAGTTAATTATCACAAATTTTTTATAAAGTATTTCACAACTCGAATTTAATAAATAAATATTTAAAGATGGTTTTAAAGTATTATTAAATTTTAAGTCAATTATGTTATATTCAAACAGTAATGTACCACATCACACATCACCTTTCCGAAACACTCTGTATAGTCCACCGTGCGGTCAACGCAGAGGTAAGAACATTCTCCAGGCATTAAAAAAAATGTTTTTTCCTTAATTGATTGAAACAAACTTTTTTAGTGAGTAGTTATTTCAAATATTTAATTTAATTATTCTTAATACTCCTCATGTCATGATTGCGTCCGCAATAGTATTTTTCTGTCATTGATGAAAAACTTACTATGTGTCGGGGTTAAGAAAATGTTACATACACTCTGTTATTTATATCACGTAACCTATAACTTGATCTATATCTATCCTTAGTCTGGGCAGATGTACTCTTGATAGATTATTCAAGGTAAGTGTCCGAGATTTGTTGAATGAGAAGGTGAATAGGCGAACAGAGTAAATAGTCTAGATTCGTATATCTGGAGGCCTAAAAGCTTGGTAAAGACTCAAGGTAATTTATTGCAGAGGCTTTTTGAAAACATTGGCAAATCTGTGTTCAGCTAATGATGGAAACCTAAGCAAATCTTGTATTTCATTGTCTAGTTAAGAATATCCCTGTAAATGTCTTTTAACTCAAATTATTGGCACTTTCGATAGCTGGTAATCGGAACACAAAAAAGTTATTTTTGTAAAGAACATTTATTTAAATTGACGAATTTTACAGACCTTTTTTTATATATTATTACATATGAAGAGGTATAAGACGGCGTTGCAAAAGGCACGCGTGTCCTTTAACTAACCAAAACTTATGCGTCTATCTTAATGTTAAATTATAATAAATGTTAATTAGACACTAACGTAAATATATTTATTTTATCTACCAATAGGTATATTTTATCAAAAAAAAAACGGTATGCCGGTAGGGGTTTAGGAGACTACAATTTGTTCATGTAAATACTAATTTATAGACAAGGTGTTTTCTCAGTACTGCCCGCAACTTTCGAATGCAATTGCTTACGATATAATAAAAGGAGAAAAGCGTTCGCCACATTTTTTGAAACGTTTTATTTTATTTTATTTTACAACGTTAGCAATTGTATACTCAAACTCAATTTTATTGAAAAATCGCCATCGGTCGCGCTACGTTGGTTAATATGTGAATTTAATTTAATTTAACAAGTACCACAACTGAATAAAACAACAACTTTTCCGGCAGATTAAATTTTGTTCATTTTCATCTTTCATATTAATTTTAATTTTTTACCTCTATACGCTTAAATAATTATGACTAAGAAAATAGAAAACATATTTTATGTATAAATTAAAAAACAAAGCGAAGCTTGGCGGGAGAAGAACAAATAAAAAATGCATTACGTTTCAGTGAAAAAAACTTATGAATAGGTGTAAATTTTAACATGACAATCAATTTTTGTTAAAATCAGGAATGTTTTTGAAAGAGATCGATATTTCCATTTTATATTCCTGCACGCGAGATGCAAAATTACCGTTGTATCACACCGTAACTAACCAAAAAATATTGACCATTTTTACGTAACAAAGGACGGGGTCAAAATTATATCAAACAAATTAGATATCGCCTGTAACCTCGATGTTAAGTTATAAAATGAATTGAAACTGAAAACGCTTATTAAGATAAAAAGTATTTAATTTATAATTACATAAGTATAATATAGATGTGTAAGTGTTACTTTCAGAAATTTATGAATGTTGTATAAGTACTATAAACAATATACATATTAATATGATATATATATATATATATATATATATATATATATATATATATATATATATATATATATATATATATATATATATATATATATATATATATATATATATATATATATATATATATATATATATATATATATATATATATATATATTATATATATATATACATGCGTACTAATGAAATTATTGTAATATAAGTAAAGTATATAAAGTTTGAAAAAATAAAATTAAAACTATTTTTTCTCAACAAATATGCAAATTTAAGCTGAATTTTAAATATAATTATACTGCGCAAATGTGGGACGAACTAATTCAGTAAAACAGCTCATTAATCACAACTAAACACCGATTGTTGGCTCAGTTATCGATCCCTATACAATGATTTCGTATCTTTAGCGTCAGTAGATTTTATCCATTAGAATAAGTGCTCAAATGCCGATTTCTTGCACAATGTTGACAATATGTTCTTTTTGCCGCATTTAAGGCTTATAAAGGTGATGGCTGCACGCATGGATAGTATTCGCTGTATGACTGAAAAGCGCCGCCGTGATTGCTAAATACGTTTGGTTACAGGCCATTAGGTATTACGTACTTACAAGAGTGTTCATGTTTAAGTTGTTAAGACCTTGCGCAACACCTCAGATGTCGTGTCGATTGCGGCGTTTCACAACACGGTCTCCGACAATTAGTCAATTCGACAAGTGTTAGTTTGAATGTGCTATTTCCGGCAGTATTTTATATTTTAGATGTGGGCGTAACCATGGCGACCGGGCATATTGTGAGAAAATGCCGCAGTGAAAATTGTCGAACTCATGAAATGTCAGTTGTCTTTTATGGGTTATAAGCGACGTTTGGGAGATGAATGGCGCATTAGCAGATACTGATCCTCGACACTTTTTTGATTTTTGTTACGAAAATACTTATATTATCAGAATGGTAAAGCCTATATATACATCCAATATGGGTGTAATAATTTTACCGTATTTACGGCCTTTATATTAACTATAAATAGCGCAATTTAAACGGTTCTTTTCAGCTATCGACAGCGATTACTCAAGGACTCTGGTAAAAGCATCACAATTTAATTAGTGTAGATTTACTTAAAACTTATTTATAAATTAAGACTGAAGGCAAAGCAGTATTATATCGCAGTGAAATCCGCGACGAAACATGCATTGTTAGGAAAAATTATATTTAACTTTCAGACTTCTCCTTACAGTATACTAGTTTATATGTAATCAAAATAAATTGCGCCCACTTCAATCAAGATTACTAATATTTAACTGTTACGATACGAAGTACCTACCTAGTTTTAAAAAAAGCATACATACTTGCAACTATATTGATAAATGATGTATTCTTCTAATTGAAACGACTGTCAAACAATAACATTAATACTTTAGTAGTAAGTATGCCTAGTTTATTATATCCCGTAATAGTTGTAATTTATATGAATACAATATCCTATAGTCGCATACATAATAAATGTACCTGTGATCTTTAAAATCTAGCACTTATAATCGCTTGTGCTTTATTAATAATATATACAAAATGTAACATAGATACTTACCACTTTTATTTAGAAGTCAAGCACACGAAAGGGTTATTATATAAAAAAATATTCAATTAATTCAATTCAGTTTGTTCAGTTTACCAATACATTGGTCATTGTAAGGTCGTTTTTCACACGAACCTGCGCTCACCTGAAATCACATATTTTGTAAATTTAAATTAACCTCTTCATATACCAAGTAAAATAATTATAAAATATTTTTTTATAATCTCGAAACTAAGCATTCTTTACCAAAGTTTCCCGATAAAGTTCAAACTATTTGCAAAATTGTAAATACGCAACAAGAACTTGTAACTGCTAGATTATATAGATGTTGTTGTGGTTATCTGATTATTTATATTTTATGTCCAATGTTATATGTCGTGCAAATACATATTTATTTTAACGAGTAAACAGCTATCAGTATGTTATTTATAAATGTGTTTTATTTATAAAATCTTGTTAAAGAAAAGTATTTTTATTCAGGTTCCAGAAATCAATAAATCAAAAACTTACAAGGTTTAAGACGCTGATTTTAAGTGTTTGATGCATTAAATTTATTTCCCCAGTGAAAAGGGCGCAAACTCAAATTTTCAACACAGGAGCCCTTCATTTCATAAATCTCAAAAATACCTAGAGGATATTGATGTTTTTTCTTAAACAGAAGTTGAGGAACATATAGAAAGTACACTTGTTAGAGAATTTAAACATTTTGCTGATCCGTGTCATTCATGGTCCGCGACCTATAGTCTGCGATGCGAGTGCAGGATTTTGTCCTTATAATTCAGTTTGTACCAAATGATTACATGTAATAAAACTCAAAGTTAAAATCAGCTTGCCCAATTTATTCCACTACTGTGGAAAGTCAACAACACCTATCTAAATTTAAATAATTATACACAATCTTAACAAAAAGATGATGTATTATGGTTAACTGGTATCACATTGCTTTGAATTTCTACATAATCTTTAACCCCGCTTTTTTTCACTCTTAATTTAATTTCCGGCGAATCACAATTGTCAGGCCACCCTGCAACAATCTGGACCACTGAGCCTTTGTCTATATAGCCCCTCTCGTAGGCGGACGCCAACTGATTAACAACCCGCCTCTCCACTTCATATTTGATGGATCTAGCGCCGTAGCAAACATCGTAGCCGTCTACCAATGCAGATTCTACATTTCTGTCCCATTTAATCTCAATTTTGTGTCTATCCTTTGCCTAAATTTATAAAAGGATTCGAGTTTATAGGAAAAAATTATCAGACTCTTTAAAAAGTCGAATTATTCAGAATTCGACGAAACCGAAAGAAAGACAAATGAATTTAATACGAAAGTAGCAAACAAAATAATACATCGCGACGTTAAAGAAGCTTTTATTACATTTGTTCAAATTTTTGTTTTTGATATATATTAAAAATTGTGCCCCCAAACTAATTCAAAATTGTTTAACAGTCTTTATAATGGGCATAGATAGTTTCGAAAAATTTGACTTCATCAATTTAGCATCTTTCGTCATGCGTATTGGCTCAAATTTAAGTTTCTGCAGTAGATCCAATTAAAATTAGATGTTTTGCTGTTTATAATGCTTCGCCTTCTACAAAACTCCGACCTTCACATTACACTTTAAATACGATAAAAATGGTATTTATCCGTCACTTTTCACAAACCACATACCACGAAATATGATGAATAATCACTAATACTTTATTGCCGCTTATTCAGGAAGAATGTTTATGTGTAAACATTGAGATTGCAAGTAAAAGGAGCACTTTTGTTTACGTTTTGCAGCACCACCATCGGAGAATACCTTCACGGATAATCCTTATGTTTGACTAGAACTATCGAACATTTCTTATTCGTTAATCATAAAATTATCATAGTTCTTAATGAGGATTCTTAGAAATTTGCAATTCCTAATTGATTATTTTGGTTGTGAACGATTCTAAAAATTCCGAAATAAAACGCGAACTGCTTGACAATTATTTGTTCGCACATGCGCAGTATGCATCAACTCAAATTACACCTAATGCTAGAAGTTTGGTAGACGTTTGGAGAAATGATTTTCAACAATTTGATTAGATGCGATGATTAGCATTCAGTATTAATTAATCCTGTTTGTACTGAGTTGAGATACACATACCTTAGAATTTTACCAACTTAGCTTAAAATTTATTAAAGTAGGTGTGTTATGTCATTAACTGTAGAATATTGCATTTATTTAAAATTCCCAAATAATTTTAAACAATTCTGGAATTAATTTTCAAGCGCATCTAATTTTTTAAACCAAAACAAACGTATTACGAGTAAAAAACTAGCCGCTTGTATGGTAGCTCATGCAACAAAAATATAAATTTGAACAAACATATTGTTGTAACGAATAAAATTAGCCTGCACGAAATACGTAGTAAATGCAGCAAATCATTCGAGTTTTGAACATTTAAACATAATAGGGACTTAAATTTGTATACAGGATGGTCAATTTAAAAGGCTCACCATATCACAATACAGTGTGAGTTAAGTTAGAAAAAAGTTACATTTGTTAATTTCTGTTTAATATATGTTAATCTAATATACATCCACTGAAGTCCTATATTTAAATCAATACTCAATCAATCAATCAACGCAGATGCAGGGTTTATACTGAGATCAGCGATTTTTTTAATTTAAAATCTAACAGAGCAGAACAATTTAAATAAGAGTGTTCTGTTTTACAAGAAATCGAACTTTATTGAAAATCAAAATTCAAAGTCAAATACCAGATAAATAGCAATCAACTAATTTGTCTGTCATGGCAGACTCCTTTCAGTTCATTCACTTTGAAGTACTGGTGGTATCCTTGTCCTTTTACCAAATGGCTTCAATAAGGCGTCCACCGGCAAATGAAATGTCACTGATTAAAAATCGAATGTAAACATTTTCATAGAAAAACTTATTATCAAAAACATAAATGATGCAAAATTGACAATGGACAAAGTAAATCCAGAAAAGTTTTGAATGTCTTAGTTTTGATGCAACCTTTTTATAATTTAACCGCTGCTGTATTAATAAAAGTTTTCAGGTGTGAAAGTAGGCAAACGTCATCTAGGTAGTACTAGTAATATGTAGCTTACTTTTTTGGCCCATGATTTTAACTCTCGATCCACAAGTTCCATCAACTCACGCCTAGAGAATGGCAGAAAATACACAATTTCATTAATCCGGCCCAAAAATTCATCCCTCTTAAAGTGTTTCTTTAAAATTGGTTTTACTTGCTCATCTTTGAATTTTCTTGAAATCACAATATTGTCAGTTAACGTTTTTTCATCTGTAAAAGCAGTTAATATTCGTTGGATCGTCTCAAAGAAAATAATTGTAAATTAAAAAATAATAGCTTGGTTCTACAAAATCTCCTTTAAGTGAGATCACATACAACTTGACCGTCATAGCTTGGGAGTATGTTGCTGGGGTGATTTCAAGTTAAAAATGTCAAATGTCAATTCCGGGTATATGTTCATTTGACATTTCTAACTTAAATCACCCTGGCAACACACTCCCAAGCTATAGCAGTCATGTTGTGGGACACCCTGTATAAATAATTAATTTGAAAACAAAATATCTTATTTACCACCTCCATACCTTTAATGTTAGCCATTAACCTCTGGTTTTTAATCTTTTCACCCTCTTCTCTTAAACGCAAGGCGTGACGGGCGATCTCCTCACTAGCTAAGTTGGATGTCATAATAAAAATGGCATTTTTGCATTCAATTGTTTTTCCTTGTCCATCAGTTAATCGTCCTTCATCAAACAGCTGGAGCAATACAGTTAACACATCAGGATGAGCCTTTTCAACCTCATCAAACAAAACTACAGCATCACTGCATTTTTTTAATTTTTTGGTTAGTTGGCCACCTTCATCATGCCCTATATATCCAGGCGGTGCACCAATCAGCTTGGCAACTTCATGCTTTTCTTGAAACTCAGACATGTCCAAACGTATAAATGAGTCCCTTTTATTTTTGTGTATATAAGCAGCTAACTGTTTAGCTAATTCTGTCTTTCCAATACCAGATGAGCCCAAGAATAAAAAGACAATTGGATGATCTTCATCTGCCCAGCCATTTTCCTTTCTTCTAACAGCTGAGAGGAAATGTCTAATGTAACAGAAAATTAAACCACAGAAAAGTGTTCAAAACATTAATTCAGAGTCAGATATTAATATTACACAACACATCTACAACTTACTAGCCGCTACAATTGAGATAGCTCCTTCTTGTCCAACTATATGCTGTTTAAGCCTATCTTCTAATGGAAATCTCCTTCTTTCTTCTATTTCTTTGTTTTTAAGAAATTCTGCATACTAACAAATGCATATATTATATTGTTAACTTGAAAAACTTATGTAGTACAAGTTTTTGTCTATATATGATTGATTCTATATAATTTACCTTTGTTGTCTGTTTTTCCAAATATTCCTTCATTGGGCCTTCTTTAGCATAACTCACTGGCATATGACCAGAATCATTCTCTATACATGGGTTAGCACCATTCTCTATCAATAATTTTACAATATCTAAAGAATTTACTAGCACTGCATAATGCAATGCAGTAAAGCCCAAAAAATTTGCTCTGTTGTTAAGAATGCTGGAAAATTCATCTTCCCTAATCATGACAACTAAAATATGGCTTTTGGCAATTTTGGTTTCATGTAAAAATAAAAATTACAACCTTCAATTGCATGCATTCCTTGCTCTTGGGCTATTTTACTTGCACTGGAATAATTATCCCCCGTATTCAGTTCAGCCCCATTTTCTAAAAGAATTCTCACCATATCGTAGTTTCCACTAACCGAGGCCACCATAAGAGCAGTCCAACCTAGTTTATGGCGACAATTTACATTGACACCTCTTTCAATTTGACTGACAAAAAATGTATTAACCTCAAGCTGTTTTACAAGTGCCTGGCTTACCTAATTACTTCGCTTTCAATGCCTCTTTGAACAGCTTTAAAAAATGTCTTCTCTGAAAAATTTGTAACCGACTCACATGCTGCAATGGATAAAGCAGGGAGAAAAAACATAAGAGAAGGAAACTTCAGGTAACGCGAGCTATTGTTTTCCTGCTTTTCATGATAATTTCTATAAAACATTGGTTTGTTGTTCAAGCGATTAAAATTGCAGTCAATCCCAATTTGAAATCTTTTATTTGGGACGTGTCTGTTCCAAATCCGATGTAAATTAAATAATTTTGTAATTTTCATGTTTTGAAGCCGATTTCTAAACAATCAAATTTTTTAAGGCTAGGATATTATGCCTCTTCTTATTTTCTTTCAAATATTAAAACATGGCGCAGAATATTGGTTGAACATATTCCGTGTAGAAATCGCAAGATTCGTTTTTAGTTTTGTTAGTCAATTGAAAAAAATTGGGAGTGATTAGGATGATTGTTAATTCTAACGATTTGTAATTTTTATACTTGGCAGAAATTTTGTAGTTTCTTACTTGTTAAATATGTCATTACATCTACTAACTGAAACTGCTACAATCATTTTGTCAAAAATCAACTAATCCTGATTGCTGGCCCAGATGTTAACAGTTCATTACTTTTCTCTATGCTTCTAACCTAATGAGTAAAACTTGTTTACATGAAGTGAATAACATAATACAAGATGATAGAAAAATCAAAAATTAAAACCAGAGCAAGGAAGTCAAAAGTAATTGCTTTTGACGACGAAGTGGTAACCAAAGATAGTGCGAAAAAAATCCTACAACAGCAATTCAAATATGGTGAATTCAAAACAGAAAATATCAATATGCAATTACCTGTCAGCAGTGGTAACACTTCACTCTCTAAAACAAACAGAACAAAGCACAAATTAGATAACTTGGATGTGGATCAAAAAGCAAAGCATATTAAAATTTCAAACAAAAAAATACAAGACAGAGAGCAAGTAACAGAAAATATGGAAACAGAAGGCAATGATATTAAATTAGATTCAAAAGCTGTTCAAAAGCCAAAAAAGGAATCAATAAGGTCGAAAAAGCGCGAAAAACATGCTCAGTTAATACAGGAGAAAAAAATTAAAGTGCAACTAGACTTTCAACAAAAAGCACTAAATTACTTATCAAATTGGAAATATTGCCGCTCCCAATGGAAATTTGAAAAACTCAGACAAATTTATTTGCAACAAAATTTATTTGACTCCGATAAAATTCCTCAGAAATTTTGGGAAATTGTGTTGGAATATTTCAGCGGGGCAAAAGGGCAATCCAGGCAGTTGGTTTTGGATGCAGCCTTGAAGATAGTAGAGCAAGAGCAAAATTCAGGAGAAACTGTTCAAGAGGAAAAAATTAAAAGAGCGCAAGATATTTTGCAATATTTACAGTAGCAAGTAAATATTAATAAACATATTGTAGTTTTCTTTATAAGGACCTGAAATTGATAAAACATTCGTTTTCCTCTCCTTTTTTATTTAGATTTTTTTACATGTCAAACAAAAATGTGGGTATTAGCGTCTATAAATGTAAAATCCTTATTCGAGTACTCAGACTTGTCAAGAATATCTATGCATGAACTAAAATATTTGCGAGAAATCTAAAGGAAGAAAAACGTGGAAACAGTTGTCTAAAAAATTGTTTATTTAAAAGTACAGAGAATGATTGACCGTGGACGCAGAAAATTATAAAGATGATACTAGGAACAACATTTTGAATGGAATAAAAGTTTCTGTGAATGTCATTTAAATACAAAATAGCCAAATGTACAACATACGCTCCTCTTGACGCATGAAAAAAACTAAAGAAATTTTTATTACATCTTTTTGCACTTAACATTTACATTACATTTATATACAAAGAAACCCTAATTTTTACAGGGAACATTTTCATTAAATTTCAACAATAAACATGTTTTAACAAGATTCTTTTTGTACATGCCAGAAACAACACATTAAAGATTTAGTATAGCAATGTTGCCAAACAGGACAAAATACTTTGTATTTTAACTTTATGAAATCTTTGTTTCTGTACATGTAATCTGTGTATTCCTATCTGGCAGTACTTGAATTGCTAAATTGGCAAATCCCATTACATGATTGTAAAGGAAATATTTAAATGGACCACCTAGAATGTTGTCCAATACCAACATAGCATTTCTTGCATTTACGTCATACATGTGACACTAAATAATAGACACGCGAATGAGAAAAAGTAACATTAAATTCACCTAAAATACGATTTTGGAAATAAATAAAATGGTGTATATATTTACATCGAATACGTGCTACTTATAGCTACAATTAAAAAAATAATTCACTATCTTTTTTGCAGCCTTAATTAAATAATATACTAAAGAAAACCATAAATAACAAACCTGTGCCTGGATACAAAAAAAAAAACACGACAAACAGTGGGAACAACTGCAGTAATGGCCTAAAACAAAGGGCAATGTTTTTGAAAATGTGGAGATTTATTTTCAAGTTTGAAACGACCACATATGTAGGTGCTAAAGAATCCATGACAACTAAAGTTTAAAAAAACAGGACACATTTCTGAAAAAAAAGTAATGCAAATATACTAAAAAAATGGCATTCATCTGCTTGGTCCTAAGTCGTCGTTCACTTCTAATTTCATTTTGACCAAGCACAGAATTTGCTATGAAGTGAGTTGGTAATGCATCAAATTAATAAATCTGGTTTATCAACATCAAACAGCCACTTCCAAAAATCAAACAAAGTATCTCACAGCAAGTTACATAAAATGCATTTTTTATATTAAAAGTATAAAAAAACATGGTTACGCAGTTATTGCAAATAAAAAGGACTTGTTTTTTCCTCGCAATATCACCTTTTTTGATTCATTTTCATACTTGAAACTGAAAATCATTATAAATTCATATCTGCTAATATGGCAAAAACCGTGGGGCAGCAATTTTTAAATTATAATAGAATTAAATTTGTAGTTCTTTATCAAATTTGTAATGTGCATATGATATTTAAAGGTAATAGGCGAAAAGACTAAACATATTTTGAATTAATATTTTGTTACCTGAATTTTTAAAAATAACCAAACAAAAATTTGCAAAATTCAAAAAAGTGTGAAAAATGAAAACTCGCTTCCCAGACCCTATTTTGTTTTTTTATAAATAAAATTCCCAAGTCAGTCACGTTTAACTTTTAGTCAATAAATGAAAATTAAAGTCAGGCGAGCAGAATTTTTCACCAGGTTCGGATTCTCGCGATGATTTTCTTGTACAACAAACCAAAGTAAACGTTAATCACATCTCGCAGTGAGTACTGGTGGACGGTATGTCAATGGTATGACTCTCGTTACCAAATATTAGCCTAAGCCGTTTCATGGGCAAAGCTGGCAGTTCTTCTTCGACAGTCTCATCCTCTTGGTTCTCCATCTGCTGTTCTTCCATCTGATTATATAAACATACTCTAATTGGTAATCTCAAAAAAGTCCTCCAGAGTTATAATAATAACAACAATATCTTTATTATCGCAGATATTTAGAATACAATCAGTATATTATGGATTTCATCAAGTAGGTCAAAATTAGGTACCAACTATAGATTACATTAAAAATGTATATAATAAAAATATGTGACAGAGCACAACAATATAGTGATAACAAACATTAATAAGTAAAATACTCTTTTAAATTATAAAAACAGTTTTGTAGGAGGAAAAATTCTAGTTTCGATTTAATTATTACTATTGCTTTTTAGCTCTGGGGAAGCCGGTGTGCGTAAAATATTTTTTAGAAAATTCTAGCCTATTTTTTTTTATAGAGAAACTATCTTTGTTATGTGTATTATAGTCGTGAAATTTTGTAAGTTATTTTTGTTTTCATACATCCATAAACAGACTTCTAATATGTATATACACCTTAAAGGCAGTATTTTAAATTCCCTGAAGAGGGGCCTGGCGACACTAAAGCGATATACCTTGTGCCTTTCTTTTGGGATTTGTAAACAGATATTATTTATTAGGAAACAATAAGTAGGTAGCTTTGAAGAAAGTAATTGGCATTGAGTTTCCCAAGATGGGGGTTCGTCAAGTTCTAGTCCCAAAAATTTAGCGTGCTTTTTTATTTCAACCGTCTCCCCGGCCAAGTGAACATTCACAGAAAGATTTTTTTTTTGTTTTGTGGGCATTTGAATATTGGCACACTTGTTTTTTGGACATTCAAAGAGAGTTCGTTGGTGTTAAACCAGCTATTTAGCAATACAAATGCTTAATTTATTCTGTCTTCAAGAGATTGCCTTATTTCAACATACTGCATAAGATTTGTTAAAAACATTCTAAACCGGTTCAGACTTATTCCACGAATTCCGTATTTTGAATTTCGTGGTTCATACAGTAAAACGCCCTGCTAAGATCACAAAATATCCCTGAAGCCGTGCTGACTCTCAGTCAAAATTTTGTTTTAATTTAAATAATCGGTCAAATATTTTAGCAAAACATGATGTGATTGCTATTGGACGACAATATTCTGCAGAATGCTGTGGCTGTAGGAAAAACTCTCTCCGCCAATGATGCATTTATCAAGGAGATTAATAGACTCAGGATATAGTGGGCACACTTTTTGAATAATACAAAACGCACACCATCAGGGTCATTAGAATTTTTATTTTTTATTAAGTTCAATATTTCCTTTTGAGAGACTGGTCTAATGCACATGCTTTCAGAAAAACTTCCAAATTACATTCTAGAAATTAATTTTTGTGCGTTTTGGATGACTTTTTAATTTTGTCATATAAGAAGTATTTTTTACTACTGACGAATTTAAAAATTACTTAAATTAGAATGATTCCGTTATTACCTTAATGCGTCGATCCCTTTTCCTATCCTTGGACTTGTGACGTTTCTTCCTATGAGAATAAGGTGTGTATTGTACTTCGTCATCTTCAACGCCCTCTACCCGTAATACTTCATACTCGGGCTCAAAAAACTCATCGCTCAGGCTATTACCAGATTCGATCACCTCATCCAATACGGGACTTCTTTTCATTCTGAGCGTAAGCTTTACGCGACCGCCGCACCTCTCAGGGGTTTTTTCCGTGTTTTGAATACAATCTGGTGGTGGCTCCGACACAACGTCGTTAAACTAGATAGATAAACCAATCAACAGATGCTAACACCATCAGTTATTAAAAATACTTGTTTCTGTTTGTAAAACACTTGTCTTTTTGGATTTCCAAATTTTTTAAAACTACAAAAAATTGTAAAAGATTTTTATGTATCATTATTATTATTAAAGGTTTAAAATGTTCGGCTTCTACACTGAAAGTATTTTCTAAATTATATATAATTTTGAACATTTACATATTTTCAATATGACATACTTTGCATTTAGAACAGACCTTTAGGATAAGCCCGATGACATTTTAAACACATTTTAACAAAATCATCGACCACTGCAAATAACTTTTAAAAAATCTCAATTGATTATTATACATATAATTTGAAAGAAAAATGTATTAATATGCTCACTGTTTCCACATGCCAGTTGCTATGTTCGATGGTAGTGTGAGTTTCAGCTTTGACTTCCAAATTATCACTGCTGACGTCTTTTAGTTTTGACTGTTCACACTCAACATCTATTTTCTTTCGAAGGCTTAAGGTATCGTCACACGCTTCATCATCATTGAACTCATAAATATCGTTTTTCACAGTATCTCCGCGGTAACCGTCTTGATGGGTCACTTTGTAATACTTTCTGTTAGAATTTCGTGTAGTCCGCCTAAAATTTCTCCCACCCTTGACAGAGTTGCTTTCGTGATTATTATTCATTCCATCGCACTGGGTGCACCTAATTGCGTCTGCTTCCTCTTTTGAATGCTCTCCGTTTGAGTGAACACGCTCCAACGACTCCGTTAAGCATTTATGACTGCGTAATTTAATCCCCGTCTGTTCATCACAAGTGCCTGTACATAAGTATTTCGATAATATGGACTGTGACGATTTTACTCTAATAAAAAGAAAAGATGCACCTCCGAATACTCTTTTGTATTTTACGAAATACACAAGCATTGATTTATTATAATTAGTATTAAAAAATTTGATTAGTTGTTTTTACAAGTGACTGAATTCAAAGTTTTTTGTTTTGAGGCCTCACCTGTTAAAAGCAGGAAAGAAATCTTAAAGTATGCGCTTGATACTAGCTTTTAAGCGGCTGCATAGATGGTGCCTATTAAGGGCTTCAGCAAAAAAATATGAAGATTATTTTTTGGTAGAATAATAATCAGTATATATATTATAGACTAGCTAAGATAGATACAGGGAGTTATTTAATGATTTCTAGGCAATTTTTAAATTAAAAATTTACTGTAAAGGTGTGTCTCGTTTCGAGGTGAAAATGTCAAAGTATTATTTTTGTTTCTCCTGCGTAATTTGAGTAGTACCATTTAAAAAAATCTCATTAATATCCTTCGCATCAAAATTAACACACCACTAAAATTTAGAACAATTTCAAAGCTGGTTTTCTCGGAAACTGCTGACTCGATTTGGATATATTTTTAGCAGGCAGAAATTCAACACATTTTAACTACATCATTGGTGTACAAATCAAGTAAAGACGTAAACATTAAACAAATTAAAAGTCAATATGAGGTTTCCTGTCCCCTTTTGTTATAACCGATTGACATCGACGATTGATACTTTGCACGTTTAATTTGTGATTAATGGATATATTCCCTGATTTTTTTACGTCTGAGCAAACTTATTCGCTTGACATTAAATTCCGTATTTCATTTAATATCTAAGATAAACACGTAAATAAAAAACAAGACCATTAAGAAAGATGGGGAGCTATCTAACGACTTGGCAAACACCTAATAGTGTTGACGGAAATTGCCACAATATCACAAATTTTGAGTATAATACTGGTTCTTCTTCAAACACGCAGAGGTCAGCATTATTTATGAAATGATGCATAAAAAACCAAAATAAAAATTAAATTGTGATATCCTATAATTCGAAAATGAAACATTCAAATTTCTCATATCGCCAAACCCACAGGTACTATTTTTCGCTCAAAGATGGGCATTATTTAGGAAATTATGCAGAAGAAAAAAAATGTTTTTATACCCTGTTTCAAATACGAAACACTCTAGACCACACATATCTATTATTTGTTTAGCTCAAAAATAATTGGGAATCCTCCTGTGAAATATTAAATTACTATTATTAAATAATACCCTATATATAGATTAAAATGTTAAAAAAAAAACGGGAAAAATAGTCAACCAAATTGCTATTTATTTGAACTTACTCAATTTCCCGCTTTCATGGCTGTCGTTAAATTTTTTGTTTTGTTGCGTGGCTTCACAAACGGGATCGTTATCGCTACACGTGCTAGTACAACTGCTCGCGTTGCTGTGCAGATCATCTAGTAAATTCGACCGCGATATATTGTGGTGAGTGGACGAGTGCATAAGTTCCTAAAACGTTCCACAATGTAAATAATGCCCCGCTTCTAAGCGTTTCGATCCAAAGTTACTTGATTCGCTCGTTGGGCTTGCCGTCTCAGTAACCGCGTGGTCCGCGAGCTAATTCCGTTAAACGCGCTTTTTGGCTCTTCATTTATCACAGAACTTTTACCGCTGAATCGGGTACCCCTATCATTCGCGCCTAAACTCGAACTGCTACGGCTCGCTCGTTTCAAACTTTGAAACTCCCCTATATCTGTAAATTTACAACCTAAAATTTTTAATGCTGATTTTAAATTGACAAAATACTTTTGAAATAACTTGTTAACTTATGTATTTAAGCACCTGCCAATGCGAGAAGAGGTCAAGCGCTACACATAATATACATATATATAATACACATATATTTTAAGCACAACTAACAAAATCTTTTTATTTGTGCTACAAGCGTTTTAATACAAAGGGCAAAAATTAACTTCTAGTCCATCTCCGTTTGAAAAACAGTAGCATACACCGTTTTTACAGAAATGCCTGCAAAGGCGGCTTACGTCTATGCCAGTATTTCACTAAAAAAACGTGCCGTTGCTACAAAAAAACATACAATTTTAACTATTAGTAACTACATATGACAGGTGATTTATATATCATCAAAGGTTTAAAAGAGAGTTAAATTATGCAATCATATTTTTGTTAGATAAGGTTATATGACAAAGATGGAGGACGAGTTATACAACTGGTGTTGCAAACATAAATCTAAGGAATTAAAAGTTAACATTTCAACCCTAATAAAAAACTTAACAAACAAGTTTAAATTTAATATTGTCAAATATATGACGTTACACATTGTGGGAGGGACGGAGAAATACTTCATAAAAATTCCACAAGGTCGTGCAACATAATTTATGAATGAATCCCTTAGAGTCTCAGTGGACTAACTGAGGCCAGATTGTTGTTTTGTTTTTTAGTGCAAACCCTTTAGACCTCTGATTTTAACTATCGTAATTTAATTGAAATATCTTTATCTAATATAATCTAGCTGAAAAATGAAAATTTTGCCGATTGCAATTTGAGAAATATTTTTGAATAGAACATTGAATTTGGCATGTGCTTAAAATCTACCTTGAACAGTATAAAGAAAAGTAATACCTTGCGCGATCAACATTTCCGCATCATATTTTGTAAGTCCCTTCTGCCTGAGCTCCTTCATACTTAACAGAGTGACAATTTTGTTATTTTGCAATCTTAGTCTTTCACTGCACTTCATAGGATCTTCTTTGCTGATAACCTGTGGTTTATGCTTAGTCCTATTCAGTCTATTATCAGTTTCTCTCAAGCTATAGCCGTTTTCTTCTTTGTGTTCAGTTTCTCTAGCAAATGCACCGGTGGCGCGTCTTTCGCAAGTCTCACATTCGCAATAACAATTTTTATCGCCGAAGAAATCTTCGCCATAAAAGCAAGTGATTTCTTCACCTATCTCTATATCCCGCAAGACTTTGACGCAAGCTGTATCTCGTCCCGTAGCGACAAATTTGCAGTTTGCCCGACAATCGTGATTGATGTAAGCGGCGGGACCCAGCCATAGTTGCGCACAATTTTTCCTGCAACTATACATTACAGAAAAGTCGTTTTTTCCAGGCTGAAGCAATTGTTTTTCTTCCTCTTCCGTTAGTTCGGCTATGCAACCAACAAGACATTCTATTTTTTCGTTTTTGTACCACTTTCGCGTCGCTGCTATTTTCGCACCCTTCTGACCTTCCAAGGAATAACGGTAACAAGGGGCTATCACAAATCCAGAATCCTTGTCAAAAACTCTAAGATACCTATAAATCTGTCAATAAACGGACACTGTTAGAATATTGATTGACTACAACCAAAGACTAATTAAGTAATATAATAAATAATAATACAACACTTAATACAAATTTCTCAAAAGTACGTCACCAAAGCCCTAATAATTTTATACTTTGCTGGAGTTAACAGTAATTTTATTTTAAAAGATAAGTACTTTACGCAAAGCAAAGAATGATGGACTAGAAGCAAATATTAAAGATTTCTCTTCGACTTTTCAATTGATAATTTTTTCATGTATTTAGCAATAGTCCAACATTAAGTTAGAATATAACAAATTAATGAGTATTTTATAAGCATAGCACGACCATACTGATTTCATGGAATATATGAATTAATGTTCCAGTGCCAATATAATAACAAACGGAACATCTAATTTGCTCCAATCCAGTATTTGCTCTGGGTGTGACAGCTACAGTTTAACCTTCTTTTTTGAATTACTAAATAAAACATATATTGCTCCACTGTGAACAATATTTGCAATTGAAAAGATGTAAAAGTAATTACAAATTTTCTGGATTCTTCCTGAGTTAATTGTTGCTGAATCAAACTTGCTCAACATCATTTGCAAAAAGCAAACACAGCAACCTGTGGAAGTTTCTTGCAAAAATGTAAAAAAAAACATTTTATATAAAAATTATGCTGGTCAAATATTTATTTTACAAGCTACTACTACTGGGCTTGAGAGTCTTCAAAATCGTACATTTGTTCCACAATTTTAATCCGCTGATCATATGGAAAAGACGCAAAAAAACTCTAAATAAATGATTTACTTTTGTGGGAATATAACTTACCATTGGGGTTGAGAATGGTGAAAAAAAATCTGTCGCGTGAGTTTTATGAACAGAAAAATAGAAAAATAAAAAATTTGCCCCTTTAAATGCTTTTATATTTATAGACCTACTGCATGAAAAAAAAAGTCAATAATTAGCTCGATTTAGCTTGTTTTATATTTCCAAGTAAATAAAAAAGAACACAGTTTAGCACATTTAGTATAGGACACATGACTAGACACATTATATAATATAAAGATCTATACATAATCTCATCCTAATTGTTTTAATTTTAATAGAAACAAACTTTTTAAATATTTAAATTATTATTCATCAAACTTACGTGTTCCTGTAGCTTACGCTGTTGATTTTTTGATTTAATTCTAGGTATCCATTCGCCACTTGAGATTCTCTCGTAAGTCTTTTCATAATTCTGGTTTTTAATGAATTCTATTATGATGCTTTTAAGTTCTGATGTATTGGTTTTGAGAGGCCTGTATCGTATATTCATTTTGTGAGTAGTAAAGCCTAAATGTGGATCCAAAACTAGAGAAGTAGCCAAATCGTCATTTTCAGAGAGTTCTTTGGGCGTCATACAGGCTGGTTGCATTTTAAAGGTGTTAAAGGGCCTCATATGTACATCCACAACCATTCTGATTTTTGTTACTGCATGAAATAATACAATTATTAATAGTAATGAAATGTATTAAATTACAGGTGTAGAGAAATCTTTTTTATCATGCTAACAAAAGATGCATGTGATGCCAATGTCCAACGCCAATGTCACTCTTACAATTGACAACAAAGATAGCTTTTTGTTTTTTAATGACAACTTTTTGACACTCCCTCATAAGTATTGTCATTTGACAAAAACACTACAGATTTTTTTTAGGACCTACACAATCGTGGCCCACATAAAAACCTGAAATGATTTCAATAGTTTGGAAAACGTTGAACAAAATTAAATGCTAAGAACCTAACTGCATGCACAATGGCGAACACGGTCCTTCATATTGGAATGGTTAACAAATCCGATTTTTATCGCGAAAAATGACTTGGCATTATCCCGTTGAAATTAAAAACAGAAATTTAATTTATATTAATATGCACTATTACCAGTTCTCCCGTAATTTGTGGCAAAACAATCAGCATTATCCCAAAAACTTTTTAGTCTGCTTCTTCAAAACGACGCTGAAAACATCATGGCAGACACATTGGTACGTTGGCAAATTAACACAAAATTACGATTTTTTTACACATTGTTGCGTTGTAAATTTCCAATAAATGGGCTCACAATAAATGGAAATTTGATTCGAATAAGTCAAGTGGATCCCCAAATGTTTAAAAAATTCCCAAATGTTTAAAATAAAAGAAAATAATGCTTTAGCCGAGAATACAACCTTTTTAACATCTGTAGAAATGTGTTGACACACTGTATCACCCTCTACATGAGACTAGCGGAACTTTTTAAGACTTGTGATTCATTTTTAGATTCAAATTTTAAATTGTTCTCTAATGTAAGTAAATTTTTGCCAATTGTTTCATTTCATCTATGGATTATTTATTTCAAAATTCATTACCAGTTTTAACTTAAAAAAAAAACAGAAATTAATATTAAAATTTTGTTAGTTAGCTATAAAAATAAAATATCATTTTTTTATGAGCATTTGAAAACTAAAAGACTAGGATGCGGTTGGTTTTAAGTCAATGACGAGCAGTCCTAACTTTTGTTAATGATCATTTTCTTGCAACAAATTTGGGTCTGTATTTTTATATTTTCGATGTAGGAAAAATTATTCCTCAGAATTGTTAATTTACATATAGAACATTGTTTTTTTCTGTCAAAATTGATAATATAGTGCACTATAATTTCAAATTCCAATGTAAGTGGGACATAACATCGAAAAAGTTAAAGGGATACATTGAAAGGTGAAATTAAAGCCAAACAAAAACATTTAAAATTTATTTATTATTATCATGGTTCTCACCGGAGGCATGATAAGATTCATGACCTACAAGGACATCTTATCTAGATTATAACATAAATTCTATATATAATTTCGTTTATATCTATCATTTATTTAAAAACATTTACATATTAAGACATACATGCTATAACTTACATATATATGTTAATTCTTTCATTATTGAAATTAATACACAATTTGAAAGATCATTTTAGTCCTAAAAAAGTGATATATTTTTACTTTTCTCTGGTGTTTTTGATTAACAAAAATAAATAGTTGAGCTGTCGTTTAGATGACGCTATATTGAGCTAGTAAATTTAATACAATTTATTTTTAAATGGCGTCAATTAAATATACTTTTTTACATTTAATTTACGCGAAGTTTGGGTATATTATTCGGATTCGGGATGGATACATATACATATACGAAAGGGAACACCATATTCAATTCATTTAAATATGCCCTAGAAATACGGTTCGTTTGAGTCCAGCGACTGAGCCCTAGACTGCTGAACTAGACGAATGCAAATTTTCATCGACCCAAAAAAGATTCTCAACTCAACGGGAACATGTAAATAAATATCTCCTAGAAGATATTTAAAAACATTTCCATTCACACCCTAGCGTAAATTCTTACGGTCAGTCTTAAAATACTAGAATATATAAAAAATATTCTTATAAATTTACACACTTTCATTCGTGCATTGAAATTCTAATCAAACTTAGTAATCTGATTTGGAATTACAAATAAAATCTTATTGATTTAATAAGTTAAATAAGGCAAATTTCCAATATACCAATAGTTTTATGCTTTAATACGTAATTTAATGTTTTGGGTATTTGGGTTTTCAGGTGGTTGATGATTTTTTAGAATCAAGTTGACGAAGGTTTAAACTAGAAAAATATTTTTTTTATTTGAGATTGGCTTAAACTATTGGACAATTTTTTTAATGTATATCGATCCCACAATTTGAGTCTAAAATTGAACTAATTAAAAAAAATTTCCAAAAAATTCTAAAATTAATTTTCTTATATTAAAATTGAATAATATTGATACAATTTTGATTTTGGCATAAATTTCCCATCGGCAGTTAATACAAATTTTAATATATTTGTAACAAGCGATTGATTGTCCAATAGTTTTTTTAGCTCTGATGTCCTAATGTTAATAATAGTTGTTAGTACGAAAAAAAAAGGGATATGTCTACCATATTATTAGCAACGTGTTTCATAACACACATTTTGAAAGTGCCTTTAAAGATATGTGCTATAAGTAAACATAAAAACCAACATTAACAATATAATATTAAATAATATTAAATTAATTATTGTATTAATATCGTCTCGTAATATATTTAAAAATTATTGAAACGACAGGAGCTAACAATGATTTTATATTTTTTAAAATTTATTAAAAACTTAGCGAACGCACGATATTGCCCTAAAGAAAAGGAATAACTATGTACAAAATTATTGAAAGCTCCGATAATTATATCAATTATAGCAATGATGAGGACATCACTATACCAAGACCTTATCGGAGGTCCTGTTAGCAATAAAAAGAACGAGAATGTGCTTTCACGCAAAATAATTTCGTGCAATTGATACTTCCATATTTTAAAACGTATAAATTTTAGTAGGTGTTTTCCGTTCTGCCAAGGCGGCAAATTCTTTAAAATCTTTGACCACGTTGTCAGGAGTAGGACAATATTTGCATTGCAGCTTATTGTTAGTACGAAATCCTGATTGTTACGCAAATGATCATTAGCGTGGCGTTAAATTAAATTAAACAATTGGAAGCTAGGCAGATGTAACCAGATCAATTTTTAGAGGAACTCTTTCACAGTAACGTCATTAAATACTTTAAAGCGTTTAAATTCTGGTACATGCAATTTCGTTCAGTTCAATCACAGTACAGTCGTAACAATGACGGCCGGGTGTAAATGATTTAAATATGTAGGATTTATTATGCATTACTAATTTTTGGTCAGTTGTGGTGTGTTTCAACTATCAAGCGGTGAAACGTTTATTGGTGGATACCGAATTGCTTGTATATTGGCACCAGAATTAAAAGAGGGTAACAAAATCTGCTTAGGGAACTCAGCTGAAACGCATTTATTTACTGATATTTTATTACTCTCTTATAACTCCAGCATCATTATACCAGAAGCTAAACGCTTGTTCAGGAGTCAGTGCATTGATGTAAACAAGATTCTTTCAGACTGGAATCTTTTGATTCACTGCTCCTTCATTTAAAATTTGACTAACAAATTGCTCACCTGTCAATTGCAAATAACATACAGATAAAGACTGATTTGACGTTTAATAGAAAACTGCGTCTGGTTCATTATTTAGTTTCAAAGCCGTCAGAGTAACTTTAAGTCCGGTCTAAACACGTCTAACCTCTAATGAGCGGCGACAGTCTGATGTTAACTACATAATTATTGTCAGTCATCTTAATTTGACAGCTTTTTATCTATTTACAACAAATTGGTATCGGAGCGAAGATTCGTCTTGCCTGAAATAGCGCATTGCATTTTATAGTCTTCACGGAACCAGTTTTAGAGTGGGGGTATTACGTCCGTCTTGTGGAGGGGAGTTACCGAAGGTGATCTTTCCATTTCCGGCGTTACCGTCTCACAATTCGAGCTGCACGGCGTTAAAATTGTCGGAATTAAGCTTGTTATTTCGGGACTGCCTGGTCCTACCGTCTCCTCATAAACTCGTTCCTGAAATAATAGTGTCATACAAGAAAATGACAAGTTTGCTACAGTCTATCATTTTTTAACTGTATCTTGGATGCCCGGAAATTAAGGAAAATCACTCGTGCCCCCAAAACAGTAGTTTTCATAAAAATAGTACCCACGCTTGCAGCCGAATGATAACTTAATTAAAACGACCAAAAATTTATAAAGAAATGAGTTATATGAGCATATGAGACATTGTCGACTTCTCTCCCCACGCTTCTGCACTCTTTAATGGCACTTCTTGGCACTCGGTGACGACAAGCATGCGGGCAGCATCAATAGGCAAAATAAGAATATCCCTTTTGGTTTTTGTTAAGGTTCGATGTCAAAATTATGACTGAAAAAAATTTATTCCTGATCCAAAAAATATATGATTTTATAATATTATTGAGAAGGTTCTGTCAAAACTTTAATTATGTTAAATTAAATTTATTTTGCTTTTTTCAAATCTTCTGGATTCCTCCTGCGTCGGTTTTTGCTGAGTCGAAGTCAAACTTTGAAGAAGCTAACAGGATGATTGGCAAGTTCGACTCAGCAAAAAACGACAGAGGAGGAATCCAGATGTTTTGTAAAAAGTATTACATTGGCCTGTGGAAGTTTCTTTGAAAAATTAAATTTATTTTATTTCAAAAAGTTCTGCGCTTAATGAAAATATGGAATATGAAATTGTGCTATTATTCTATAAACTATACAGAAAAAACTTCGCAGAATGAAAATCTTCAAAAAACACGACATCAAAGAAAGAAATTTATTTAATTCTTAAACACGTGACCAATAAAAATGTACCCGTACAAATGACTTTTGACGTGTTAAAGAACTTGCCTGCGACTTGTCATACTTCAGCCTTTTCCATATAAATTGTTTCCTGTCGATATTGTTCGCGGCTGTATTCGCTTCGTTATTGGCAGAGTAGTAATTGGGATTCGAAAAACTGCGACTGGTGCCGTACATGTAATTCTTTTTTCCTTTTTTGGTTAAAAGATAAAATATCACCGCGATGCTCAATATAATGAAAAACAACATCGGTACCTAAAAAAAAATGTCAAAGTTTCTGCCCTTAAAATTCCAAAGCTGCATTAAAACGAACCACCGTCATTATGTAAAAAGTGAGTGTGTGGGTGTCTACGTTCGATTCAGCGGTATCATCCGTTTCGTGGGTCTCGTAGTGATTCAACAGCATTTCGTCATCGTAATCGTCATCTTCGTTGCTGCAGTCGAAAAGTTTCGGAGGACAAGTCATTGAAATTACCTTTACGGGAGCTGCAACATACCGCATTACAGTTTTGTTAACTATACTTCTTTCATAACTCTATTACTTCGTTTGCAATTTGAAGTAGGTTCGTCAGGGCATCCGCAAGTGTAACCTTTTTGACGGTAAAAGCATAAGTGGGTGCAGCCTCCGTTATCAACAGCGCATGGATTCCACGAAAGCTGCCTTTCCTTGGTAACCATTGTTATACCCATTGCCGCGTGTAACTGAGACCTAATCAAAATTTGATCTTTTCCGGTGGTCTTTTCGGCTCTCAGCACGGATTTTGTGTCCCAATCCGTCCAATAAAGATGCTCTTCAAACTAAAAAAGAGCGTCGGGTAAGTAAGAAACGAATCTTTTCGATTTCATTCTCTCCGACTCGCATCGTCGGTCAATTTGGCAATTAGGTAAAGAAACATTACGAAAGTCTTCTATTTCCTTGTGTCCAATTTTTTATTTGACTCGCTCTTTATATCACTACAGAAACGTTTGTGCAAAGTAAGGTTTTTCAGGCCCTCTGTTTGAACCTGGTTCAGGCTTTCCAGTTTTCGACACTCGAGTTGATTCGATGATTGTTATTACATTTAACTATATAACTGCGACGTTCAAAACCCTTTCTAACTTCTTATTAATAATTAATGCCTCCGTCTGACTCAGATAGATTTATAAACTAGTTTTCGTGAGACATTTCAAATAATTTTAAATTTGATCCAGATCCTACCGCCTGTTTCTAATACTCTCGATTTTTAATTTGGCATAATCGCAAATATTTTTATCTGACATGGCAGAATTAATAAGAATCAAAAACTATACAGGGTGTTCTTTGTTACACGAACCAAGAAAGTTTTCGAATTGTGTTAAATCAGTAGATTTTTAACTAAACACAAATACGCAACAAAAAAAATGTTCAAGGCTTTTCTGTCAGACTTAAATAATTAGGACAAATTGAACTTTGAGGAATATTCTGTACAATTTTTTTGTTCGAATTTTGCATATCAAATATACATATAGAACAGACTTATCAAGTATTGACATCACCGTTGAGCAAATGCACTTAAAAAGGGCCAATAAAAAAGTTTGAAAAAAAAATTGAGAACGAAAAGTTTCTTGTGATTGTTAGTTGTTAGTTATGTTGCTTTTGTATATGTTATAGGAGTTACATATTATTTGTACGCCTGCGGTTTAAATATATCTATCAATTTCTCTGCCTGAAAGCGTTTCTTGTGTATTCGGGATTGATTTCCTTATAGAAAGGGATCTAAGCTAGCAGTCCGTGTTAATGGTTTGGAAATAAATAAATACAGTGTGACAAAAAAAAAATAGAACAAATTTTAATGAAAAAATTTATAATTCTTTTTTTTTCAAATTGACATATTCCAGTGACTGTATAAGGTTGTCTATTTAAAAAAAACTTGTCAATTTCGAAATATTAGCAACAAAACCTTTTTTGATTTTAAAAATGCTGTGACAATCGAGCGCCACAGAAACGTCACTGTTTTGCTTTTTTGAAGGTTTGGAATACATTTTTGACAGATTTCAGCTATATAACATATTTATTTTTTATTTTTATCTAATACAAAAAAAAATAATCTGAAGTCTATAAAACGTTTTTCTAAAATAATACTAAATAATGGAGAAAATACTAAAAGTAACAACAACAAATTAAAAAGAACGTTTATAATTCGAAGTTTTCATAAAAAATATTTGCTTATTATTCGTTTAAAATATGGTTTCTTGTAGGTTTTTGTCCTTCTGAATATCTTTCAGAAAATATCGACATTTATTTCATTAAATTTGTTGCATTTTTAGATATATAACATAAGTTTAAAAAAAAATGTGTTAACCACTTAATTATGAGACATGGATTTTACAAAACATTTTGAAACGGCAGTAAATAATAGGAGCCATTGTGTTCGATGGACTTTTTTCTGCCATGTTTGCATGTTGCCACTTAGCATTTTTGCAACTGAAAAACGGTTTATTGTGAATATTGCGAAATCTACTACTATTTGAAATAGGAAACTTTATTTATAAAAAGTCACTATTATTTTTTAAATACCAAAAATGATGACTTTTAATGATTTTTTTCATTCAAATTTTTAGTATAGATTCAGAGGCGATTCAAGGATGTTATGAGTTATATGGTTGTTACCTGGGTTAGCGAAAACGGATGAGTAGTCTGGACAGGCAGTGCGATCCTATTTTTACCGTGGAAGTCGGTCGTTTCGATTTTCTCCGCATTCAATCTCGCGTCGATCCAGTACAATCGCCTACCCACAAAGTCTAGAACGAGTCCTATTGGAAAACTTAGGTCGCTATCCACCAAACGTCTACGAGAAGACCCATCCAAATGGGACCGTTCGATCTTGGGAATAAACCAGTCGGTCCAATAGAGGTAACCCCGTTTTGGATGGATCACTATCGATCGCGGATCGTGTAGGTAATCTTTAATAACCGTTTTTCTGCTGGACCCGTCCAAACGTGCCACTTCTATTATTTTGTTGCCCGTATTCGTCCAGTATATGTTATTCGCTATCCAGTCTACCGCCAGGCCATCGGGTGCAGATAGATTATTCCTTGCTACGGTCTTTACGTCCGACATGTTCAACATGGACACGCTCTGGATCACGTTCCGTTCTATGTCAGTGTAAAATAATAGTTTTTTGTCCCAATGATAGTCGATGTCAATTACGTTGCTCATTTCGTCTACGATCGGCAAGGTTACGTCCCACGCATCGAGGGTGTCCAAACTGATCTGACTTAAGGAATATCTCGTGGCTAAGAGGAGGAATGTGCTCGGAATCGGTTCGCACTGTTTCTCGTTGGTTTTCGATATCGCCAGACCTAAAATCACAATACAACATTGTATATGAGCAATCCAATGAGGTTGTTGGACCAATCCCAATGGTATAACGTACATCCAAAGCAAACCGGATTAGATTCACAGAAGGAAAAAAAATTGCAAATAGAATAAGCAACGACCCCAGTAAAAATTACGAATGCATAATCACTTTTTAATTTTAATTTAATTAGGAGGGGACGAAAGTGGTTTTAAACAAGGATTGATTGGTAACACGGAGGGGAAGAAACACGTGTTCTATGCCACAGTTCTCTATAATAAACAAACAACACCACACAAATTCAACAAAAAAAATCGAATTACATTATAGAAAAATTTATTTTTAATTTTAAATTAGCTAAAGTAACTGGATATTTAAAAGCGAGATTTCAACAATAAATAATTAAAATTTAATAATATTTATAATATTTATCTAACAAAAATAGAACTGCATTCAGCAAACTACTTATATTTTTTGGCGACAGTCTTCTTAATTCTGTTATTAAGGGATCTGAACTGCACGAGATATTTTTTGAGTATGATTTAGTCGAAATAATTTATATTCCTTATTTTTGGCTTCAGTAGCTGCTTCCGACAGTGCTCCAATAGGTAATATGGCTTTTTCTTTTAACTTAGTACCATGTATTAGTACCTTTTGTATTTATAATTTAGTATTCTAATAAAATGCAGCTTTAAATTACAGAACATCTTTCGAAAAGATTTTTTTCTACTCCCGTCTCTAAAATACCTAATTACGCACTGATCTAGCGTGCGGGAAGCACCACTTTACCACGTCAGTTTGGTTTCCCACGAATTCGAGCCACTTCGGACATTTCCGGGATATTACCGCACGGGTTTTGGAGCAATCGAATGTTTTCGGAGATTTTACCGCACGGCTTGAATTTTGACGTTTGTCAATCCTGACGGTCATATCAGTGTTGTGCAAAAATGTACCGAAAACTAACGGTCGTACAAATGTAGAATACAACACGTTTGCTAAACTTTTTAAGTCACTCGTTTATTAAACACTTGCTCTATTCGTCCCAAATAAATTCGTGACTCAAATTCCCCTTACCACACTTGTTGCATAATATACTATTAATTTGCATTAATTTCGATAAAAGCTAAAATCCGTGTAATATCTCCAAAAACATCCGATTGCCCCCAAACCCGTGCGGTAATATCCCGGAAATGTCCGAAATGGCTAGGATCCGTGGGAAACGCAACTGACGCGGTAAAATGACACTGTCTGCACACTCCATCGGTGTATAATTGGGTGTTTTAGAGAAGGGAGTAGAAAATAGTTTATTACTGAATTTGATGTATTTCATATATGCAGGTGTTGAAAGTAAAACTTACCTTTCGGAGACAGAGATATGCAATAATAGTATAATTTGAAAATACTTTAGAAATGTCAGTTTATTGATACATAAAAGATGTGCAATTGAAAGACCAAAATCTCGTAAAGTTCGTTTTTTATTTACGTACGCTTTATTGGACAAACAGTTATAAACAAAATCATTTATCATTACATTTTAAATCACTGTCTAGGTTAGTTCAAGGTTTAATGTGCGGAAAGCGTCACTGTACCACGGATCCATTATAAACCATAAACGGCATGATTCACGAGTGTTTAATAAATGAGTAACTTAAAAGTTTACCGATCGTGTTGCATACTATACTTTTTCGACGACCGTAGCGTACAGTACTTACACTGGGTACACTTTCGCAAAACAACAAGAATACATTCACTGACATCACCGTCAGAATTGACAAACGTCGAAATTCAAGGCGTGGAAAATATCAACGAAAACATCCGATTGTACTCAAACCCGTGCGGTAAAATCCCAGAAATGTTCGAAGTTGCTGGGATAGGTGGGTAACGAAACTGACGTGGTAAAGTCAAGATATTTTGACACATTTGACGAAAAAAATAATTCAATATATTAGCAACTGGAGTAAATGCGTTTGTATGCGCGCAAAATATACATTTTCCTTCGGATGTAACGTTATTGGAGTAACCCTCTTTCGTTGGACCTACCTGTAGGACATGCGCAGGTATAGGAATGAGGATTGCGTAGGCAAAGGTGACTGCAGCCGCCGTTATCAGTTCCGCAAGCGTTTTCGGCAATATTGTCACTTTGAACTGACCGGACGTCCATCAGACCTTCGAGCTTCCCTTTAACAACGATATTATCGTTTCCAGTGTACTTATCCGCACGATGTAGCGCCTGCGTCTTCCAATCGGTCCAGTAAATATGATTTCCAACCACCACTAGCCCGTAAGGATGTGGAATACCTTTCATGACGGTTCGCCTATCTTTGCCGTTGAGATCGCTAGACTCTATGACGTTGAGCTTCCCGTCGTTCCAATACAACCGACCGTTTGGTCGATCTATTGCCAGTCCATTGGGCCAAGCCAAATCGGCACTTATTAGCGTTGTTCGGTTGGTACCGTCCATGTGGGCCACTTCAATTTTGGCCTGTTTGCCCCAATCTGACCAAAACATCAAGCCGTGATGGTAGTGTAGGGTTATCGCTCTAGGGTTGTCTAGGTCTCGGTGGAATAATAATTTTCTGTGTTTACCGTCTAGTTCTGCAACTTCTATGCTGTTTCTTTCGCCGTCGGTCCAGTAAATCTGTAAAACGAATGATAATCAGTATCGTGAGTGCCATGGTACTCAAAAGATAACACAAAATTACTTTTCTTCCTGTAGAATCGACAACAATGCCATCTGGCGCTTCTATCTCGTTAGATATGACAACTTGGACATTTTTGCCATCCGGAGTGGCCCTTTGTATGCAATCCGCGGAAGTATCCGTCCAATAGATTTCACCGGTTTTCCTGTCGACGTCTACAGATGTTGCGAGTTTAAGATGCTTAAATGGAAGGACGACATCCACCATGTACGGAACATCTAAAGAGATCTGTCGAATATCCATCCGGTGCGCCAACAAAATATAGTTTATCGGTCCGCTTGCGCAGGATTTGTGGTCGTCCTAGCAACAATCGTTACAGCATTAGTATACGGTTTTGGATAACATTTTCAAATATATACTGTACTACCACCACTGCCATCTGATTAAGCAACGACTAGACATTCAACAAAATTTTGTCTACTCCATAATTGGGTAATTATTATATTATGCATTTCGATTTACGAGTCAAAAATTTTATAATTTTTTATCTTGTATTTTCGATGAGTTATTTACGTACCCCCAATTTGATTCCAGTCGGACAAGCGCAGGTGTATCCTTTAGACTTTAATAGACACAGATGGGAACAACCGCCGTTATTAACAGTACATGGTGTCCTCACGGATTTCCTAGATCTATGGAATACCGTAATACCCATCAAATCGTTCAGGTTTCGGACTAATACTGTACGATTTCCACCGGTCACTTTATCGGCCTTTTCTATCGTCTTTGATTCCCAGTCGGTCCAAAACATGTCGTCCCCAAACACGTCCAGGCCGAATGGATATGGTATGGTACTCCCTTCTAAATAGCAACGACAAGGATGATTAAAACACAAGTTTCCACGTACACCATTACAAAAATATAGTCCGTAAAACTGTAAATATATCTGCGAATATACCTATTGTAGCTTTAATGTTTTTTTTTTTGCATTTAATGTAAATGACTATCACAATAAATATAAAAACAGATTTTTTTTTTGTGAAATTAAAGACACGTCTGGAACAAAAATATTAGCAGGCAACCAACCCACAAAATATTATAAATATAGCTAAGCATATATTGCATGTTTAAGTTTATATGGCACAGAGTATAGTTCTGTCTTGGTTATCATAATATATATATATATATATATATATATATATATATATATATATATATATATATATATATATATATATATATATATATATATATATATAATTTATAAATTATCAATTACCAGAGAAATTTATAAAAATTATTTTCAATTTTCAATTGCGATCAACTGATCAGCGATCTTATTTGAAAACGTTTTTTAAAGCCTAATAGAGGCAGGAATACCAACAAATATTAAATTAATCTAACATACCAACTGCAAGAGTAAGAGCATTAATTAGTAAAGTAGTAAAGAAGTGAGAGATGGTTTTGCTTCTTAGTTTAAGAGTTTTCTTAATTACTAGAGTTATTTCTCCCATTAACTGGTTGTTGTGCAGCTAAGGTAGTTAGCTGACACTAAGGACATTTACCAAAAGCGGTTATCATCTTATTAATATTACGAAAAGTTGACAACCACCGAGTGCCGAAACCATAACTTTTATTGTGGATTAAAATTAAAATTAAATTAACTATGGGGCATGGTTTTTTACAGAAACGTCTTAACCTGCCTTTAGCTAATCCAGATGTATGTTCTTAAATCCTATATCTTTCTTTTGTTTTACGTATGATTTCAATCAATGTTTGCTCAATTGTCTTGTCAATAATTGTATGAATCTGTCACACAATAAATCATTATTATTGCTACTATACATTTAGATGGAACACGAAAAAATAACGTAACATAACTAAAATTTTTCCCTACACCGACGTTTAAAGGATGACGCTTGAAATTGCTTTTGGTTGAAGAACTTTTAAAGTACTTGACAAAATTTAATAAATTAATGTAATATGATAGCCAGTCGCTTGTTTAGTTTACCAGGTGTGGACGAACAAATAATTTTTAAAAACCTGTATTTCATTTTTTTTTTAAATAATAGAAAAAGTATACATGCTTAGGAATTGCGGTTGGTGTTGCATTTTTAATTATCGAAAAAAAAGTGTAAGAAAACTTTTGTTTAATCTTGTATAACCAAAAGTAAAACTTGGAATTTGAAAAGTTACAACATACAAATTTTACATTAGCGGCGTTGTTTAGGGACGCATATCTCCACATGAAAAGAATTATAAGGGCATTTACCGGACACCCAGTATATACCAGGTATAGTGTTGAGTACTTTACGAGTCCCACCTATATCGATTCAATCTCTTCTACGAACAGCAAGTTCCTATTGCATTAGCAGAATGATTAGATTTCAACAAACCTTTTACCAATTCGAGATTGCAACTTGTAATTATTAATTAGGATTTGATAATAATTTAATATATATATATATATATATATATATATATATATATATATATATATATATATATATATATATATATATATATATATATATATATATATATATATATATATATATATATATATATATATATATATATATATATATATATATATATGTTTTTATATTTATTGTTCTATTTTTATGTTACTCGGTATATGTAAGACTTGACAGGCCACAGAACGAGTGATATATATCGGGTTACAACGTTCTACGTCTTCCGATTCTAAATCTCCAATCTAACATTTTTTTGGGATTGGATATTGTGACATCCTTTGTTTTATTGTGTCGTTTGATATTCTGTCTCTTCTAGATTTTCCGGTCGCTCTTCTCTAGTAGTTTTCTGTGTTTTTTCTTTCAAATGCCATACTTCAGAACTATATGTTATGATGATTTCAACGATTGAATTGTTTCTCTTTTGGTATTTACATTTATATTTTTGTCCCATACTATATTGTTTCGTATGCAAATTATTCTTCTGCCTTGGACGTTTCTCTCTGCTATTGCTTCGCCCAGAGTCCCCCTTTCTCGATTTTCATTCCTAGATGCAGTGTTTAATGGTATGCACATGTATTCGGTCGTGTCGATGTTGGGTTCCAAACCCCTCTCGTCATATTCTTCATCAGTTTGCGGGCCATGTAGTCGAAGTCATCCATATCTTGTGCAACGATAACTTGATCATCCGCGAACGATAGACTGTAAACTGTATACTCGTCATCCACTGGTAATCCCATATTCTTGCACTTTCGCTGCCAAATAAATTTGAAACATGTTTAAGGCCTTTGGCAACCGTTACTCCTGTTGTTAAACCATAACTTGTTTTAACACTAGGTCTTGTTCCTTGATATAAGGATTTATTATTTCTGAGTTTATATTGGTTTGTTGTAAAGTCTCCCACAGTTTTACTAGGGGTACGCTGTTATACGCTTTTTAAATCAACAAATAATTGTGGATTTTCCTGAAAGCCTGTTTGTTCTTCGGCCTCCATATTAGCATATTCCTTTCTATTCTATTTTTCTGTATTTTTCAATATATTCTACTAACCGTTATTCCTCGATAATTGTTACTCTTGTCTCTCTTTCCATTCTTCGGCTACTTCCAATGTGTTACCGCATCATTGAAATAAATGTCTCAATGCATAATACAATTTTTCACTTCCGCATTTTATAAATTCTAACGGGATATTTCCTGGTCTTAGGGCTCTGCCATTTTTTAGTGTTTTTCATGCTTTCTTGACCTCCGTGACTTATTTTTATTGGGGATCCTTGTATGACTATATCTGAGTCTACGCTTTGGTCATGTTTAAATTGTGGGCTATCTTCAGTGAGCATCATTTCAAAGTATTAGTTCCACTCTTGGGTAATATTAATGAGAGTACGTCTCTCCAACTTTTCGTACTTGTATGTATTGAGTTTGGCTCATGTCCTTTCCCATTGATTATTCCTTTTTTCGCATATCTAACTTCGTACTTTCGCTTGTGTATCTTTGAATCTCTGTTTGTCATTTACATTTTTTAAATTTCGTTAAATATTTGTTTTATTTTTTCCGATTTTCTTCTATTTCAGATTCGATCTCGTCATACCACCGGATTTTGTTGTTTTTGTTGTTTGACGCTCTTCTTTTGATAGCCTAGCGCTTCCACTGCCGCAGAGTGTCTGCATGTATTTATATATTTGTACTTTTCTTCCATATTGCTGAATTCTTGGTCTTGGTTACTGTCGTTATAAGTTATATGGCCTGCGAATAATTATAACAAAAGTAATGAATGTGCTCTTCAAAAGTAGCACATTTAGTTATTAACCATATCCGTATTCGTTCATAATATTTAGTCCAATTTTTATTGGTCCATCCAATCTGGCACATCTTACCTAAAATGATTTGTCGCGCGGAACCATCGAAATTGGCGGAAGCGATGATTCGCAAGGCACCATCCGTCCAATAAAGTTTCCCGGCTTGATGATCGACAGTTAAACCGTTCGGGAATGACAAGTTTTTCTGGATTATAATCATGCGACCGCTGCCATCCATATTGGCCCTCTCGATTCGTTTTTTCTCGCCCCAATCCGACCAAAACATAAGACCACCTATAATATAGAGAAAAACAACCAGTAATCATCTTGAAATTCCGCTAAGACAAATTTACTTTGGGGATCGACGGTTATGTCCTTGGGTTTGTCCAAGTTCTCCCATATTAGCAATGACCGCATTTCACCGTTCGAATTGGCAATTTCAATTCTGCTGGTCGATTCATCTGTCCAGTATAGTTTGTTGGTGACCCAGTCCACTGCCAGCCCGGACGGGGTCGCTGGAATTCAACAATAATTGACCAATCACCGCAAACAAATTAATTTTGTTACCTAAATTAGTACGGACTATAACCTGATGGTGGCTGCCATTCCAAAACGCCCTATTGATGGTGGACGTGGCCACGTCACTGAAGTAAATAAAGTTGTTTTTCGAATCCCATGCTACTGCAGTTGCCGCTTTAACGCCCTCGATGGGTATAACCATTTGGTATTGATCTTTGTTCCAGTCTGTGAATCACAAAATTGTATTTTTTTACAAATAAATAATTCGCTCGTAGTTTATAATGATTAGTGTTAAATTCAAACTTACAGTTGCCCATATTTTGTATGCATATTTTAATAGATCTTACTAAGGCTAAGAACGATTTTAAAAGATTTATGAGATTCGGCACTGAAAACTACTAAATAAAAAAGTTTAAATGATAAAATTGCTTATCATTCAGTTATTATTTTAGAAAATACAGATATTAGAAACTCCAGGACGATGATAAAATGAATAACTGCTAAAAAGATAATATCGAAAGAGATAAAGGATTGGAAACAAGTGAGAAGCCGTTTGTTATTAGGTAGTTTCAGCTAATATAATTTCAAGTCGACGGATAAAGTTTTCTTTTACCATTGTGAATAACTTCCTGCCTTACTTCGAAACTAAAGCGCAGATAAGGAATCCGATTTTAGACATATTTTCAATCACATACGCATAATTTTCCGAAAGTATCAAAATGGTTAAATAGTTAGTTTTCTACGAATTTCGTGTCTTCAGATTGTGTTGGTGACGTCGTTGGTTATTCAAAAAAGGTCAGGATTGACAAAACTGTAATCTTCTAAACACCTTATAGAAGATATTTAAAATTTGAGCTTCCGGAATGGGGTCTGAAGTTAGAAATTCGTTGAAAACATGTGTCTTACAATTTGTATTTCAGAGTTTTCAATTTCCTAACCTGTCCAGAGAACCCTGAAAATTTGATCAGGGTACCTAGAGATGAAGATCTTTTTAAATCCATTTATGTTATGTATTACCGTTTTACGTATAACAGTTCGTTTGAAGTTGATAAGGAAAATGATATACAGAATCAACATGAAGAAAAAGAAATCGGTTTAACTTGACAAAATATCGGATTTAGGGATCAGTTTTGACTGGTTCTCGATGCAGCTATGTTAACGGTCCTAATTGATTAATTTCGGGTTAAAAGGGTTAAAATGTAGGAGAGAAGATATGAAGTTAGTCACATTAACTGACGATTCTTTCTATAATGAAACCAAATAGTTATAAAAAATCCAATACCGTCCAGATGCTTAATCCTTAGATCTTTCTTTCTAGCAAACAACAAAAACCTTTCCGGTTTCTGACAAGATTTCTTGTCACTCTTTAATTTCTGGCCGAGTTTGCAAACGCAGGTGTAGGATCTCTTATTCGGTAGACATATGTGCGCGCATCCGCCGTTGTCGCTGCCGCATCGATTCCTGAACGATGGCTGCCTTTGAGGGTGATAACTATGAATATCCATGGGAAAATGCAAGTGAGAATGCAGAGTTCTAAATCCCGCTCCAGTAATCTTATTGGCGCTGCAAATGGATTTCGTATGCCAGTCGGTCCAGAAAATGGCGTCCTCAAATATTGTTATAGCGAACGGATGAGGGAGTCCTTTCGTAATCACTTTCTTCCTTTTACTCCCGTCCAGCTCGGCAGTTTCTATGACGTTATGCTTCGCGTCCGCCCAATAAATTTGATTGCTTGTAAAGTCGATGGTCAATCCGTTCGGCCAAAACACCGACTCCGTTATCAGACTCTTTCTGTTAGAACCGTCCATTTCGGCCCTTTCAATTTTTGGATTTGGCCCCCAATCAGTCCAGAAGACCAACGCCTTTCCCGGATGCACTACTATGGCTCTAGGTTTATCCAGTTCGCTGGCTGCTATTATCGCTCGTTGGGTACCGTCCAAATTAGACACTTCCACCCTCTTGGTTCCCGAATCCGTCCAAAAAAGTAGATCGTGAATCCAGTCTAATGCTATGCCTCCGGGTGACTCAAGTCCCGAACTGACAACAGCTGAAAATAGTGCATAATGGGAGATGGGAACCAAACAATTTTAAATTGAATAAATTATGACTTTTGAAGGCTTTGAATATTTAAAAAATTTTGCCATAGAGAATCGATTATTTTAATTTCTTACAATGCGACCAAAAATATAGTGCATTTATTGCTTTGACGTTTTAAGTAACCGCAAACCTTGCAGGACCGTGATTAAACCATACCAACAGATGTTTATTCTGCATTAAGTAGGGCTTGCCTGAGATGGACCGTAACTAATATTTGTAGAAACTAGAAATGTGTATTTTAAACATAAATCGAGCGTTTTAAATTTGATTATAATTTGATGATGATTATTTTCGAATCGCCAAATACTCTTAATGTTTTGGATAATGCGTATAATCTTATCATTCAGCCAAAATTAGAAAAAATCCAAATGCTTCTTCAAATAAGGAAGAAATTGAAGAATTTCTGTACGAAAGTGGTTTATATTTTGAAGGGAGCTACACGAAAAAAAAAAAACTTATGGAATTATTAAAAATAAAACATTTTAATGAAAACTACAAAATCGATTCGATAGCACAACAAAACGGATGTGAAGTCTTGAGATTACCCCCTAGCATTGTATATTTAAGTCTATTGAGATGATTTGGTTCGAGCTGAAAGCACATATAAGAAGAAATAACACTGCACCAAAATTGAGTGGTAGTACCATAAACGTTTCGCCAAGAGGTAGCTAAAATATTAGCACAAAGCTGGTCTAACTGTGAAAAACGAGTAATAAAAGAAGAAAATATTTTTGAGGAAGATTAGTGGCGGAGTTAATCATTGACCTAGGTGACGACAGTAGCGATAGTGACGATACTTTATTATTATTGTATTTAATATTTTGTATATTAATAAGGATACCATGTACAAATGTAATAAAATAGAACGTAATAATTTTCCTATGGCGATCCTGGAATGGTTACGGGTAAGAGTCTGCTAGGCAGTAGATAAACAGTAGGCAAAGTTGATCACGGGATGGGTTGTAAAAGCACTATATTTCTGGTCTAAGTATAATATTGAATTTTCTCAAAAAATAATAGTGTATAAGTTTTTTTTACAAAGGACTTTTAATGTCCTGCTAGTACCTCATATGAATTAGAAAATTTGAACCACCTATCCCAAAATGGAAGCAAGAGAACTATATAATTAAAATAATGTAATAAAAATAGATAATAAATAAAAACTCAAGAATAAAATATTGGAAAAAATAAACCAAGCGCATGAAAAGTTTAAAAACAAATAAAATATTCTTGTTGTGTGACACTTACTTTCAATTTGGGTACCGTTAATGAAAGCCCGCTTAATCCTGTCCATGGATACGTCCGACCAGAATATTAACCTTTTTTTATAATGATAATCTAGAGAAATGGCATTATGGAGACCTTTAAGAATTTGCGTATATTTCGTGTTGCTTAAGCTCATCTGTAAATCAAATACCTGGTCGCATCTGACTCTACACCAAGACTTTAGCTGTTACCTGTCTGATATCGATCCTGTTGGCGAACAAGAGTGTTGGAGGTGCTCCCACGGCTTTGCAGGTTCTGAGGTCCGGTCTTAAAATGTATCCCGTCATACAACCACACTTAAAACTTCCAATCGTGTTATTGCAGGTTTGAGAACAAACCGGATCCGTGGCATACAGACACTCATCGATATCGTCACAGCTAAGGTAAAATTGTTTAGTGCCAAATGAAAGATGGATACACACATTGAAAGACACCAGAAAGCGTACAAGGCAGAAACAATATTTTTGGAAATAAAAGCAATTTCATTTGTCACGACATTTTGAAAAGTCATTATACTCTAACAGTCACGATTTTGTAGTATTGCAAGTCGCATCATTGTCTACCTGCAGTACAGATTGAATTTATAGTTTTTTTTTAGTGTTCGCTGAAGACTTGATCCTGTGCGTGCCTTTTATATCGCAACAAGTCAAGATTGCCATTTTTCGTAACACAATCTAGAAATCATTACGATAACCACCCCACACCTGACACCAAGAACAGAACACATCCCATCGTTGAGTTTATATCACAGAGGAATTGAATTTACAGTTTTTTTGAAGACTGATGCTATTGATCTTGTAGCCACAATTATTTGCGTTCCCTTTAATTGGCATCCTGAACCTGTCACCGATAACATTTCCGCCACGTCCTTTGTTGATGGTAAAATAAAATATTTTCTCTGAATTTAAACAACAACAATCTCGTATACTTTCCAAATGGTTATTAATAATAATAAAGGATTTGTTTGTGAATTAGGCCTCTGGTCAAACAATAATTAAGCAAAACGTTATAACTACATTTCTTAAAACATTTCGAACTTCATTGAACGTTGAAATAAAAATATTGTTCTTACTTACTTTTATGTTAAGATATTGATATGTAAGATGTTGATCTATTTTTATGTATAATATAGTTTTTTATTTACTTAGTCCAGACTATATATTATTAAAGATATGAGAGATATAATATCTTTGGTATTTACGAAATTAGTAGAGAAATCTCTTCCCCTTCACTAAATATTTCTAACAAACATTTAGGTAGTATTAAATATTAAATCCAAATCGAAAAACCTATCTATATTATTACAGCCAATTAATTTAATTAATCTGATGTCATGCAATATGCAATGCATGCTCATAGAGCAGGTCATTGATGAGTGAAAAATTTAATTTAAATTTTATTGCACCTGAGAAATGAACAAACATTTTTAATTTTTGCATTCTTCAGTAAATGTATTATTACAATTTCAATGCTCGTAAAGGAATCGACCTCATTTCGAACCTCCAGGGAGTTAAAATTCGTTTTTATCTACTGCACAAATAGGTTTTACTTTAAGTGTTTGCCTGTTTGGCTTTCTGATGTTTGAATGCAATGCAATGCAATAGGCCACTTACCTGTAGCCATCTTGAGCCAAACGGTATCCGTTCAAACATGAACAGCTTTTCTGACCATTGGCCGTTGTGATACATAGCTGTTTACATTTCGTATTTCTTTCGCAATCGCGCGTTTTCGAGCAATTCCTTTCGTCTTCTCCTTTGGGACAGTCAGGTATACCATCGCAACGGTGTTTCAGGCCGATACAAAAACTAGTTGAAGTATCGTTTCTACCTGGTCCGGTACAGGGGAATTTTGATTCGTCGCAAACTATTTCGCAATTTTGCTCGTCTTCACCTTTCGGACAGTCATCCAAACCGTCGCACACCCAAGTTTTCTGAAAATCGAATATCACTCGCAATCCTTGACGGAGGGATGTCTTACCAATATACAGTCTCCACCGGGGCACGTAAATTCATCGGAAGAACAAGTCTTATTCTTAGAGTAATCACAGTTCACTTCGTCCTCATTATCGTCACAGTCCTTTTGATTATCACATACGAACCTCCTGGGAATACACTTACCGCTTTTACACCTAAGAGGATGATATTTACAATGAATTTCTAGGCAAAATTGAAACAACACATAATGTGGAATATTACGAATTATTGTCTTGAATTGATAAAGGACTATTGGCCATCACATACGTTAAATACAAAATGTCCCTCCGGCAACCAGAAAAAATGTAAAATTTGGCTAATATACTAAGGCTAATGTTTTATGCTTGTTTTAAATTAAAAATCCTAATAGTATGCTATGCAGACTTTAGTTAACACAATGTTTAGGAAGATCTTTGAATACTTTCAAGGAGTGACGTCAAAATGCTAAATTCTACACCAACATTTTTGAGTTATTTAATATTTTCTGTCAGAAATGACATTTGGTCAGGAGTGCCTGCAAGTCTTTTCCAATTTTAAACGCTTTTCTTGTAAAAAAACGGAGGATAATTTCAAATACAAGTTGGCGAAATTAAAATTAACAAAATTAAATGCATGTTTCCAACTATCCATATTTCGAAAAATATAAAAATTCGGAATATACAACTTCCTACAAAGTTACCTTAACTTTTTATTTTAAATAAGATAAGATTATAAAAAAAACTGGTTATTTTAAACCGTATTTTAAAAGAGTTATCAGTGAATTTCTTAGTGGGCTCATCTATGTTCCTCTTTTTTAATCTGAATTCGTAATAAAATATTTAATAAATAAAATGTGTTTCTTAAAAACAAAACAGAAATTAAGTGAATAAAAACGTTCTGAGTCTAATATAAACATTAACATACTTAGGGGCTGAAATTCCGACAAATTCAACAAATCAAACAAACACAAACAAAATACAAGAAATATGCTTTACCAGTCGTCGTTTACCAAAGAAAAAGAGGTACTTACTTAAACTCATCTGACACGCATTCACCGATGACCTTCGGACAATCATCTTCATCACTCCAATCATCACAATCGTCGTCACCGTCACATTTGAACTCGAATTTTATGCATTTGTGATTGTTGCACTGGAACTCGTTGTCGTTACAATGTGGCGGAACAATATCTGAAAATGGAAAATTAATAAAATTATGTGTTAACGTTTTTCCACTGATTTTTTTAAAGTTAAATGCTGAAAATTAGAAACTTTTTTCTTTGATTATTGGGGGCTTTTATTTAATAAAGAACTATCACATACCACAATCTCTTTCATCAGATCCGTCTGTACAGTCGATGTGTCTGTCACATTTCCAGCTCAATGAGATGCAAGTTGTGTCTCCACATTCAAACTCATCAGGGGTACATCTAAAATGCCGATTATATGTAGTCCATCGCTCTATTAAAATTTGGAATTTATCATTCGGTAGGTCCGTCTCTCCGTTCCTCCGTGGTTGTAAATTTAAAAATTCTTAAGATCTTAAGAAAATGACAAAGTACTTTTAAATTAGTAATAACTTAAACGAATTCACATCTTTTTAAAATATATTTTTTTAGCATGATTTGAAATAATGACCTACCTGCTAAAAAGGCAACAAAATTGCCGACGTAATGCTTGAAAGAAACTTCAAATATCCAGATTATCGTTTATTTATTGTCCATGGCAAATATTTATCAAGAAAAGTTTTAAATGACAGTTCATTTTTAATGGAATCATTTCTACTAACTTTATTTAAAACAGTAGATAGTTGAAAGGATTAAATATTAAAAATTATGTTGTATTATCTATTTTCTGTATGTTAAATTTGTATTTTATGGTTTGTATAGTATGGTTATATTGTTCATATTTTTATATTAATTTTTTCTAGCAATTACAATAAAACATTATTCTTGAGTGACAAAATAGTGAACTTCGCTTTATTATAATTAAGTGAAATTAGTTTAATTATTATTATTATCATAATTTTGTTATTTAAAACTCAAAAATATATTCTTACTAATTACTAAGATACTATTTGAACTTTTCTTCTTTAAATCACCTGTAAAACAACTTTGCTACGACTGTTACGTTATCAATTACCGTTTTATTTTTTAACAAGTGCAAAATAGCAAAAATGGACTAAAACTTTTATCTGAAATATGCACATAGTGGCCGTTCAACAGCTGTTTTTAAAGATTTAAAAATTATTAAATTTATAAATTTAAAATAAGCTCTGAATTTATGAGAATAAAAACATACCCGATTTTGGTGCAGTTCATTTCATCCGAAAAGTCTCTACAATCGTTGTCATTATCACAAATCCAGCTTTTGGGAATGCAGAGACCATTGTCGCATTGAAACTGATCCTTTGAGCAATTTGATGCAAACCCTAAAAATATATAGTGTGGGTCGAACGACATATTAAAAGTTTCGAAGATCTAAGAAGAAAGAACATTACATAAACTATATATACAAAACATTTTCAGAAATGCATAATGCTGTTAGATCTATCAATCAACTTTATTTTTATAGAGGTTTCAAAGAAATATTAATTTTTCCTAAAACGGCAGATGATAAAGTAGTAACACAAGTCATATAAAATTTGATGTAGCCTCAAACTTTGTACTTTTTTTATTTTAAGAAACCCGCGAATGAAAATAAGCAAATTATTTAATTTAATTCATTATGGGTTTATAAATATTAAAGTAAATACTAAACTTGGCCAACTTGTTAAGTTTTGATTAGCTGAGTACGTTTTGTGGCCTCCGGTTCCCAATATTTATAATTTTGGAATGCTTTTTACAGTCTCACTTAAGAAAATATAGATCGTTTTGAAAATCACCTGAATAAATCGTTCATTCTTTTAATATATTTAACACTTCTGCTAAATTATTTAGATTTAACCCCAAAGCCTACTACCTAGTAATTAAAAAATGAAATATATTAGAATTGAAAATGAAACATTTAAAATTATTTATAAAAATAGAGTGTATGCAACTATATATTTACGAAAAGGCTTCAAGCGAAAATAAAAAAATATTATGTTAAAATGAGATGAAATTCTATGATTCATATTTTAATTGTCACCAAAATTCTTTTGCGTACCACAACGAGTTTCGTCCGAGAAATCGCCGCAATCGTCATCGCCGTCACAAAGCCACTTCCTCGAAATGCAACGTTTGGTCCTCGGGCAAAGGATAAAATCAATTGTTGTGTTACATTTGACAATATGATTCTCGCAAGCCAATTCATCTTCGTTATCGTCACAATCCATGTGGCCGTCGCATCTGGAGAAATAAAAATCGGACACAGAGTTAACTGGCGTTGCAAATAACAAAAGAGATTATTTACCTGTTCTCGTATCTTATACAGGTGCAGGTCTTATAACACTGGAAAAAGTTCTTCTCGCATCGTTCTTTACATTGTTTCTCTGAACGCTCATCAGATTTTCCGGGTGGAATGAGGTCGAACGGAAAAACATACGGCCGGCGAGGATCGGATTTTCCTATAAAAAATGCGGAATAATTTATTGACACATTATTATTGAAATTCACAACTAATATACCTGGGAGTTGTTGAATGATCAGAATTCAAAAATGCTACCAGCAATGTTGCCAGATTTACCACTTTTGCGTTACACGACATAATTTTGTTATTTTAAATGAAATGTCCTATTTATTTTTGTTGCAATGACTTGCGCATGTCGAATTTAGTAAAGTCTCATTATTTCAAAATTTTATTTAGGTAAATTACTGAAACACGGCAACACCGCTTTTCCACTAATCCAGCAAAGTTGTCCGAATTTTGGAGGTTTTTCAACATAGGAAATTTTAGAAGTGAAACGTTAGCAGAATTATAAATATTTTTTTTAATTCTGCATGTTCAAAAACCCTCAGGTATTGAATGTTATCGTTCCAGCTTTTTCAGGACATATTTAGTTTATATTGGAGTTCCGGTATTTTTTACCTACCCTGTAGACATACTTGGTTTTTAAGTCTAATCTTCTAGTGAAAATGTCAAGGTGCACAATTTAGTACAGAACTTCTAGAAATTAGAGCCAAAAATAGCATAAACTCTTATGTTCTGCGATGGTTCGTTAAATCCGCTTAGAAGTGAAGAAAAATTTATTATTTATTTTCGAAATCAACCAAAGATTACATTTTAGTTAAACCCCAATTTTCCAATAAATACATCACCCAGACATGTGTGACGAAGTCAGAATGAAATTTGTATTTTTACTTTGAGCGAAATTTGGTTTTTTAGTACTAAAGTAGAGTCAGGAGAAATAAATAACAAAGGACACGAAATCATTAACGAACTCGCTTGGCACTAAATAAATACACAAAAGATTAGCCAGTTGTAAACATAGAAAGAATTTATTCATTGAACTTGATTTTCCAGTAATTGAAAGCGTAGTCAATACAACAGAAATTCTCTGAAATCCAGCCGGAGTTATTTAGCGAATTCGGAATATCGGAGCTTTTATGCAATGACAAAGGTCAGAATTTCGACGTATTTGAAATGTTTTGCAGATAAAGCGATAAAACGAGTGGTGGGTGAATTGAAAATTGTTGAGTTGAAAATTTACAACTCGTTGATTCCATGGCAGGTGCATTTAATTTAATAGAGTGGAATCAAATGTGAAATTATTTGTTTGTACCTATAAATTTGTTTGTAATTTAACAACGCAAATCGGAAACGATTTACATGTAATTAACAACGATAATTTAGTCAAACTCTCTAGCTTTTTCCTAAAGGTGTGCCAATTAGTACCAAGAATTTAAAAACCACCTTTTAGAAAGAAACTTCTTTTATTTTAGAACAAAACATTAACTATTATCGTTTGGAGATCATAAACTGCAAAGTAGATTTTTTATTTAAGTAGCGATGTGAGAGTTTATGTGAAAAACCCCACAAGCCAACACCAAATTCAATGAAAATAAGACGTTATACTGTTTTGTAAATTGCACATAAATGCAATTGCATTTTACTGGGTCATTAATAAAATATTATTGTATTGCCACGGTATTGAAGTTGAAGAAAACAAAACGGAAGGAATAATAGTATATTATGGAGCAAGTTTCATATTTGTACGACTATTAGTTTGTGCTAAACACTAAAACTGAAACTGAAAGACTGAATGACGTGTGACCTGACCGTCAGATAGGACAAACGTCAAAATTCCATTGCTAGTTAAGATATACCGAAAAATTACAATCAAGTACCGTAAATTCCTTGTATTGGCACGGTATAGTGTTTAACGAGGCTGGTGTCTTGAAGTGACATATGCCTGATCGGTGCATATTTCGTTAATTTAGAGTAAAATGTAGAAAAAATATGTTGCAGCTCAATGTATAGCGAGTATTTATTCTTGTTCGGTTGTGATTTAAACCTTTTTCGTATTTATTGATTTTTATTTATTTATTTATCCAAAAACAAAAGAGTGTTACAAACTAGTATCGGAACCTTAGATTACAATCAAAATAAAACAATTGTATAATAAGCTTGGTATTTTATGTAAGTGTTTTTAAGTTTAAGTAGAAAGTGTAGTCACTGCAAATATACTTTTAATTTTTGACAATATTGCTCTCTTGTTTTTGCTTCACCAATCACTTTTGGTGTAGAGTTATTTGTCTGAATGCTGGTGAAATTATTGGTGATCTTTTTACTTTAAGAGTTTTTGAAAAATTATTTTTAAAGTCACTTTCACTACGTTTATTTTGACTATGCATTTGTTTCACTAAGTTACTGTTTAACAATTTATTCTTTATGAAACATATATATTATGCTTGTTTAACAGTTACAATTTTTTTATGTTTTTGTTGTTTTGGACACTATTTCTATTGAAGTGAGATGGTTTATCTTAAATATGGTTTTTACTGCTATGTTTTGAGTTCTCTGTAATTTATCTTGCAGATAAGTGGGAAGACTTCCTCAACATGGAATTAAGTACCTTATATGAGATGAACTGTCGGTACACCGTTTTGTTGCACCATAGATAAGAGCAATTTTTTTATGATTTGGTTCATACGTGTGTCTCCCTCAAGTTTATTTGTTAAGATTAGCCGTAAGTGTTTAAAATTTTGTACTTCTTTCAGTTTAACATTGTTCAGGAACAAATTAATATCACAGTTTTGTTTGACGATCATATATCATATATCGTGTAGTGTTTGCGGTCTTTGGCGTCTTCGTGCAACACCTCTGAAGCCCATTTTTTGTAATTTATGAATCATTATATCAATGTTCACTGTTGCGAATGCTTTTCGCAAATCGATAAATATTGTTAAGACATATTTATTTTTGTTAAGTTCTCCTGATATGTGCTCTAGCAGGCCTGCTGAGGCTCCAAAAGGTACTGCTGTTTTTGTGGAAATCATATTGATGTGGGTCAAACCTATAAATTTTACTATCTTTTTTTAAATTATTTTTTCTGTTATTTTTGAAAATGTATTTAGGACAGAAACTGGTTTATAATTCCTACTGGTTTATAATTCCTAAGGCCCTTTGGCGAGTTTTTTTTGTATACTGGTGTTATTTTTACTGTATTTAGTTCTTCAGGAAACATGCCAGTTTCTAGGATAGGGTGTCCTGAAGTTCTATTAAGTCTGTCGACTCAAGGTAAATTGACTCCTCTCCTTCTTCTTTTCTTAACCGTTGATTTATAGTAAAATTAATTTTTGGTATTGTTATTATTGTTAATTGATTTAGAATTTTTTTTGTTCTCTTTTTAGGAAAATTATTTTCTGCTTCATGTTTCATGAACTTTCTTTGTAAATAAAATATGTCTTGCTTTCTTTAATTTAGTTCTTCCCTTACTAACAGTCTCCTATCGGTTTTGTCGCATTACTGCATTTTCTATCTAAATAATTCGTTATTTTTAATCGAATGAGTGATGCGGTAAACGAATAAAGGGCGAAGATCATCAAACAGCGCGTTTTTGAGTTAAACGCACAAAAATTAAATTTTGGCAAAAAAAATGAAAAGTACGTACCGGTTTTCGGGAGTGAAACTAATTTAACCATAATTGGACTAAGATCTCATTCTGGGGCCACGGCTCCCTACCATAGCGGCACGGGTAAGTCCCTTACAATTTTATAATAACAGTATCACTCTTATATAATGATTTCGTTTTAATAACTGCCACTCTACAAAAGTAAGTCACTCAAAAAATAAATAAATAAATTGATATACAGTCCACTAGGCAATCCAAACAATGCGCTCTCGAGGTGCACTAAACAATTGTTAACCTAGCTTTATCTCATGAATACCGCATCTTTTATTATATGTATTGTGAGCTTTACCAGTAACCTAATTACTTTTCACTGTTTTGTACTTTAATATATAATAACATAAAAAAATACATATCATAAAGAAAATTGGGTTCAAAATTGAATTATTGAGTTACGGGATAGATATATCAAGCCAAAAAAATGATCTATGTCGATCTATTGTGACAAGCGAGACGAATGGGAGTATTGAGTGCAACTCTGCGTTCCGGAACTCGGGCGTACGCAACACCGCGCTAGCTCGTCAGTCAGTTGAAAAGAGAAGCCGGGTCGCACAAATATAAATAATCGACGTAATGTATATAAGGTTGTAAGTAAATAATAAATTTTTAATTATATTTTTATTATTACGACCGACGACGAATTAAATATTTATTTTCCGATCTTGGATAAAATTTTTAATTATTATAAATATTTCCTGTAGCTCTGCCACTGGAATTGTAGTGAGTGGCTCGTTTGTGGTCGATTTCAACTGGTATTTTTTTCCACCAAAGAGAAAATATCAGGTAGGATAAATTAAATAATTGTTAGTAAAAGGCAACAATTTTACGCACTAAAACAATGCGTTCTTACCAGAATATTTTTTTCTAGCCTCGCCTTTGGAGTTGTCGATTTTCTGCCTCTGTAGATCGATAAAAAACGGAAGTTGTTCTCCTGGATAAATCGGCCATGGTGGATATACTATCGGAATCGGTAAAATTGGTACGTGCGATTGGAAATAGGGTCTCAGAGTCGTCTTCACGCCGAAACGTTTGTGGCCAGTGGCCAGTACCGTTTTCGCTCCTGCTGGACGAAGCGATCCAGATCCGAACATTTGACGTGCCGCTCCTGGATGAACTGCAGACGTCGAGTTTGCCTGGTATTCTGGCGAACATTTCACTAGAAATTACATCCATATAAATGCAAAATTTTATTTTGGTCTTAGAATTGTAGTGGTATCGAACAGTGCATATAAATATTTATGATAAAAGAGTTGCCACTTAATTAAAGAAACAATTTTTTAGAGAAAAACTAATTGCAATTAGTACAATTAAATAAATATAATTAATATTAGTAAAGTAATATTATTATATTATAGTGTAAAAGTTAGTTAATCTTTACTATTTTCTTTCCAATAAATTAAAAGTGGGACATATTTGTCACTTTTTCAAAGAAATTTCCACATGCTGTTGCGTCGGGTATTGACTCTTGTCTGCTTCACGGGATGTTTGATAATTTTCCTACACTCTCCAATTTTTGCATAATAGAAGAGAGCGCTAGATCCAGGTATTTTGGTGTTATTGAGTAAAATCTGGTGCCCTGTTTTATGATGATGTTCAGAAACTGCTGATATTGCGTTTTTGGTCGAAGTCTCACAGATCTATGGTGTTCTGTTAATCTGGTTCATATTTTTCGACATGTTTCTCTGATGTATTCTTTGCCATGGATGCACGATATACTGTAAACACTACAGGAATGTTATCTTTATCCGATCGTAGATATTGGGAGATTTGTTGATAAGTAGAGAAGCTTGTTTTGATATTATATTATTTCAGAATTTTTGATATTTCTTCGGTGATAATTTGAACTACAGCTACTAATGTAGGGTCATTTACCAAGCTGTTTTATTTAAGTGGTGCTGGTGTAGTGTATTTTTTGATCGAAAGTATGAGTCCTGATAACGGCAATCGTTCGAGAAAAGAACTCAAATGAGATGTCTTAATTCCTCGTTCAGAGATGCGGAAGGAATTAATCACGGAATATTTTTATTTTTTTTAAGTTTACGTAATTTAGAAAGGATTGCGGAGATTTGTCGCCGTGTTTCCAGATAACGAAAACATAATCTATATATCTTTTCCACAGTTTAGGTTCTTCAAAATGCTCAGTAAGAATTTTCGCGACGACAACCGATTAACGTGTACGTTACGTGTAAATTATATTCCAGATTAATAGTTTTTGATTAAATTTAGAAGGGCAGCAGGCAGGTTTTCAAATTATGAGATCTCTGAAACGATGCCTAATATTTCGGAAATAAAAATATCATACAAACATATTTTTTAATTCTTGAATTAGTGGGCTACAATTAAGCACAACAATGGTATTTTTTCCCGTCAACGGTTTCAAAATATAGGCTAGACATGGTGTTAGAGCTAACAATAGGTCCAAACGGTATAGTTGTTTTGTGAATTTTTTAAAGACCGGAGAGCAGAAGAATTTTGGGCGGGAGTCTTGAGAACTAACCATCTCTTTTACGGATCCGGAAAGAGATGATCGCTGAAAAGTCAGCAGCATGTTTAATGAAACGTCAGCAAGGCAAAATTATTTTCCAAATTCGTTCTCTCGTATGGTACACTAATACAGGAAATTTTTTTTGTATTCGCTTGAGTATCTACCGCAAAGGTGCTAGAGTTGGCTAACTAATGTCGTTTGTAAAATATATATTTTTTACTCTATAAAAACTAGGAGCAACACATTACACGATATTATGCAGACCTCCATAAATACAGCAGTGGGGAAGGAATGCCCTCTCCTTTGGTATGGGCTATATTGATTGACGACTTACTGCAAAAACGGTCGGCAGGGGCTTTTACTACCTAGGATAGTAATTGTTAACCCGAAGAAAATGATATGTTTCATTCACTATCTGGCGAATTCTGACAGGACTGAAACCGCCGGTAGTATATACAGTAAAGCTACCATTTTGCAAGGAAGCAAAGTATTTAGGAGTCACCAAAAGCTTACTTGTCAACGACGGCATGCCCAAAAAATCACAATTAGGGCATCAATTGTACTAGGAAGGTGCAGACGAATGTGTGAAATGAACTGGTGCCTAATGCCAAAAATGACATTTAGTAAGTAAAACCAGCACAGTAATAAAACCCATAATAACGTATGGAGCCGTTGTTTGGTGGACAACAACCATACAGGTTGAGGCGATAAGACTGCTATGAGCACAAAGCCCACTGTAGCGCTGTAGGTGCTACTGAATATCCCACTAATACAGATCTAGATACAAGGCCAGTCACTAATAATTGGTGGATATATCAAGAAAATGACATTCTTACAGGGAGATAAGGGCACATCCATTCCTAGGGTTGCTTATGTATAACACAACATCCAATCATTGCTGAGCCAGGAGAAGCAGGACAAAAATTAAATTTTCTTTCCAATGTATAAGTGTTCCGCAGCCCTAGAACATTGTGCAAAGTAAATAAAGAAGACAAAGAAGCGGCAATGAAATATATGCAATCCAGAAAAATAACATCCAAGTTAGTTCTGGATTGTTAAACGAGACAAGTCAGAATAAAGTGACAAGTGACAAATTACATTCGTGACAAGAATGTCACGAATGTAATTTAAAATTTTCCAGATAACGATGAGAGGTTTATTGTAGTCAATCTACGTAATTTTGGTTATTTTTGATAAGAATCATAGATTTGTTACCTATAAATAAATGACGTTTCAAACTTAAGTATTAAATTCCAGAAAAAACAGTTACGATGGAAAAGAACTGTGGAAAAAATGTCAATTGAATTGTTTTTTTTTTGCATGAACGAATAACCTGAGATAACTGCGTTTGTCCGGATCCAAACCATCTTCATGAATGGAGCCGTTCATTCAAGGCAGAGCATAACTTGGAAAATCGATACTAGGGCGCAAGGTTACAACGTCAGCACAGCGCGTGCTATCGCTAAGCGTTATTGGGTTATTTCTGTTTTAGTACGTTATCTATGAAATCTCGTAAACTAATTAAGTTGAAATTAGTTCATTCATATTCATTTATTAGAATACGGACAACTGAATTTATGAATGCAATGAATTGAATTCATAAAAAGAAACTCGCATCTGCTTGAGAAGCATTATAAAAATATTTTCCTGCCCCCTACTCTAAAATGTAGAAACTACCTCTTTAAGACGTTAGGTTCATTTACCAGGGTCACGAGCCAATTCAGATATTTAGTACATTATGTTTCAAATTGACTAATACTATTTACAAATCTTCCGGATTCCTCCTGCATCGGGTGTTGATGAATCTAACTTTAGAGCTTATTTGAAAGTATTTCATTTTGTTCTGTTGCTGTTCAGTTTTAGTTAAGCTCTGAAGAAGCCAAAAGGATGATCCAGAACATTTCTAAATAGTATTAGTCAAACTTGTTACATAATGTACTATTATATATATCTAAACCTGTGAATGTAAGTTTATTAATAACACCTAAACCACAACTTAAAGAATGATTTGGGCAAGCGTTTTGCTAACCCATAATCTAATTAGTACCGACAAGGGCAAGAAAATGGTGTGGTCAATATCAAGGTTTGCTTATGGTTTTTATTTTTTAAATTATATACTATAACACAGAAAAATGTCTTTCTCGTGACACAAGATTAATATAAAATTTACACCTATTGCCTGTACTATATTTATAAAAACAATATTTATAAAAATTTCCTAACTATCTTGTTTGTTTAATAAAAAGATGTTTTATGGGTTTTATGATCTTGCAGGCAATAATACCCAGACTTCAGTTTGCCAACGTATCGAAATATATATATTATATAATATACTATATTATATGTAATAATTATTGCAATTATGTAATAATTATGGTAATTATGTAATAATTATTGCCTGGCAAGATCTTGCAAACCATAAAAATACCTTTTGATTAAACAAAAAGGATAGCTAGGAATTATTAAAAAGTTTAATTAATACTGTCGATAAATCCGTAAATGTTGTGAGCTAATTAGCAGGAATACGAAACAATTGTTAATTATAATTTTTATATTATAATATAATATGTTAGAGTATATATAATAATCTTATATACAATATATTATTGCCTCACAGGATCCTGCGACCCATAAAAATATATGTCCATTAATTAAACTCCTTATAATATAAATAGTAATATAACATAATATAAATAATAAATTTAATACACAAACAGTTCAATGTACGATATTTCTAGAAACCTTAGGAGGCCCTGCCAAATTTGTTATTAATAATTGTTTCGTATTCCTCTTAAATAGCCCAAAACAGTTTTCTCGAAGATATTAATTACCCTGGTCAGTAAATATTTAATTTTTATACAAAGAGAGTTCAATATAAAAAAAGTTCTATTCAAATTAGTTCCGCCACTGATAGTTTCGTTAGTTTTATATAGATATTACGTATTTCGCAACAACCGATTCGCACGCCATATTCGAGAAGTAATTGGGCATAAACACAACCCACACACTAGGGTGGTATCGCATATTTATCAGCTTGATTCTCAAAAATGCAGCCTCAAGACAAACATTCGATAAAATTGCTCGCAACCACTAATAAATAAACGAGATCTTACTTACCGTAGGCGAAGAAAAGAATAAAGATAGCCAAAATCCACAAAACTCCGCCTCGAAAGTCTGTTACAACTTTGAGCATTTTCCAATAAAATGTGTAAAAGGGTGCATGGAAACACCCTCACACCTTACGCTCTCCTCTTGTACGTGAACATTTTAATCAACCAGTCGCCAAAGTACATTAAGTTCTGTGGGTGGGACCCGGATTTTAAATTTGCCTTTACAGCAATTTCTGGACCACACGTTCAATCATTTAATGTCGTAATGATGCACGAATCGCCACAAACATATTAAAAATGATCAGCACTTTAAATATCACCGTGAACTTCATGGAAAATAGTCGAGTCGCATCGATTTCTCTGCCTTGCCAAAATTAGTGGAGGATTTGAGAGCGGCGCAGATATATATATGGAGGATATCGGTCCTGTTGCGGATTCTGCGCCGAGTCTCATCCCACGCAATTTGAGAGAACGACTACGGTCTATAATATTGTGGAAAAATAAAAGGGCTAATTTTGATTACTAATTTTGTCCTTGGAGGTAAACAGAAGACGAAGCGGTCTGCTATGAGCATTCAGACCTTCACCTTTGTCATCGTGATTTTCACGGGGACCAATATCCGTCGCAAAATTCAAAAAATAATAAAGTCTGTAAAGCGCATTCTAACAACAGAATGCAACAGAACTATTAGATGCAGCTGTTTCATTAAAAAATTTCTCTGTTGCTAAATATGCAAAAAAATAAATTATTGAAATATTTTATTTTATAGTATATTGAAAGAAGTGTGATAAACTACACTTTAGTGACGAGTATGTTTTGTCACTAGCGAAGCGAGTGTTCAATAAGCGAATGGCTGAAGTTCATCGCCGTGGGTAAAATCTACCGTAATCATCCGATCGCTCCTAAACCAATGAGTAAAGTATCGGAAATAGTGGTGGCGGGTGGTTACTAAGCGAGTGACTGAAAAAGTTTATATGCGTGATATATGCTTTACTTTGCCTACGACGATTAGTTTTTAGATACATTTTTGGAAAAGAGCAAGAATTTGAGTGGCGTGTGACGTAACCTTGAGAACTCTTGACACTTTTCGTATACCTGGTCAGTGCATAATTGAGTATTTTAGAGTAAAGTGTTGAAATGGGACACGAGGCATTTTTTTTGTTCAGGTAATTGTTAATCGGCTTTCCTTGACTTTTTAATTATTTGATGTTAAAAAAATTAGCTTCGATTCATAGGGCGACATAGAAGGAGATAACTAAAAATTGTCAATGATAAGGGTGTTTTTTTAGGTATTTTTAAGCAGTGTCAAGCAGAAAATGTCACTCAGTTTTGGTTTTAATTATTATTTTTAAAATTGCATTTGACCGCGACTGAATCTTTTTCGGAGATTTCCCACAGCTTGAATTTTGACGGTTGTCATGTCGGTGAATGTATTCGTGTTGTTTTTGCAAAAATGTTCCCGAAAAGTAATGGTCGTAGAAAAAGTATAGTGAGCAACACGTTTGGTAAACTTTTTAAACTCGTGACTCAGATGCATAATATACTATTAAGTCGTAACGCGGAGAAAAAAAAATGTACCTTCTCAACTTGGCTGTGGTTTCGGCATCATTTTCAACTTTTTTTTTAATTGAGTGCAACTTTTATTCCATTAACTTATTTCGAACTAATAAAGTGCCTTCGAAAAATGACCTTTTTTTCATCTCAATGTGTAAAAATTTGAAATTTTTGAATTTTTCAAATTTAAAATAATCAATTAGTATATCCTATTCTATCTGCCTTTTTAGAGTCTCTTCCTCTCCTTTTTTCAGTTCTGATGTTCACATCACTATATATTTTGCAAAAGGTGATAAAACTAACCAAAAACTAATATACAGAAAAATATCATAGTTTTAAACTACATCTATGTTTATTTATTTTTAGGGTGCAACATGTTGATAAACATCTCCGCTCGTACCTAAACAAACTCGTGGCGAAAACTTGTTGCATAGTGTACTATTTTCTACTCTGCTCTAAAATACCCAATGAAGCACTGATCACGCGTGCGGAAAGTGTCCCTTTAAATCAGTTTCGTAATGGTCGCGGGCCACTTTTCACTTCACTTCTGATGGCCACGTTACACGAGCTGGTATGCAAAAATGTACCCAAAAACTAGTAGTCGTAGGAAAAGTATAGAATGCAAACGTTTTCAGATACTCGTGCCAAATCAAACTCGTGACTAAAGTGTTGTTTAATTTGGCAATAAACCAGTGCCTACGTAATTTGATTGATTGCATTATATTCTTACGCAGGTCGAATTGAAGACGTAATTTATAGGAAAGCATACAATATTAAAGAATGACAAAAATTTCGCTCAGTGTGGTATAGTCCCTGCTTTAGAACAGCTATCTTTGATCTATATTTATGTATTTATTTATTTACGTACACTGCTCAACAGGATTAAACCCAATTATATAATCAGAATTACAAAATTATTTACAAAGTATAAACACCACCACGCAAATACACATATATACAATATCACAAATATCTATTTAAGAACATTCGAAATTCCTATTAAAGGTTTTGATGAAAAATTTATAGGATACAGCAGATTTGAGCTTTTAAAAAAATTTGTTTAAAATCCCTTGTACAATTACATTAATTACGATTTGGGAAAAATAGAGATCATAATCTATCAGCTTATTATTACCATATTTCAGTCAGTATTTGAGCAACCAAAGGAATTTCAAAGAAAATTACTGAACCGCGACTAGTCTCATTACGGAATTATAAAATATTGTTAAATAACAGATCTCAAAAATTATTTATAGAACAACGCCGTGTTTAGGTTGTGTTTTACCAAAGCATTTTTCTGATTTATAGAATGTAAAATCAATTTTGTGATGGAAAATTCTTTAAGTAAATCATAGAAATCGCTATTTTTAAATTCTGATCAAAATATCAAAATTAATTTTAAAAAACAACTTATGAGTTGGGAGTGACAAACTTAGCGGAACTTGAAGATAATTTAGAAAAGCAGGAATATATTTTCTATAGTCCTTATTCTTACTTAGACTGCGATAAAGGAATTCATAGGTCAAAAACGAATTCAACAAATCCATATATGTGCTTAGTCGACTAGCCTAGCCCAGCAGTAGTAGTGACAAAAAAAAAGGTGACTTTCGTATAGATTAGAATAAATTCACAAGCTCAAAGATGCTTCGAATGATATAGAAGATCAAATTAATTGTTTAACAAGGAAATCATCACCATCTATTTCACAAGTTTTGATCTCACTCAAAGAAGCTTCTTATGCCGATAATATAAAAAATATTGATATCTAAAATGCGCATGCGCGGTCATTCGAAATCTCGTTTCCAACCAATAAGACCTAGCGGTGTTCAACAACCAACGTGGCCGTTGACAGGTCGCCAATTCAACAGGTTTCAAAATATCCCCAAATCTAGTTAAATGTTAGTCGGTAAAAAGTGATCATACGTTTACAGTACTGTAACTTTTCAAATGCTAGAAAATAACTTAATCTTTGAACTAAGGTACAACATCGGTTTGATTTGGATGACATTTTGATATCCTCTTAGACCACCGAGAATGGACTAATTTTCAAATGTTTAAAAACATTATATTTAAATCAGCATCGATAATTTGGGCAAACCATATAAAACGCGGTGGCTAATTTTCCTAACCTCAAAATCCGAAATTGCGAAAATCATACTTTGATTTTTGTTTCTAACAAAATTTATCTACATTTTCTACAAAATTTATCTTGAAAAATTAGCTGTAGTTCAATCCGAATATTTTACGTTTAGTTAACCATAACTCATTTTAAGGTTTACATAGCACGGAGGTGATTAAAAATTTAAAGCTACGATTTTGAAGTGAAGTAAAAGCGTACAACTAGAAGATTCTGATTTAAATTTATCTTATAAAATTAAAACGAATAGAGAGCTCTGAAGAGCACAAAAGTAAAACCAATACAGAATTCTAAACTAAATCAAATACAGAGGAACCAGAAGAAGCATAGGACGATTCAGTGTCAAGATGGTCGAATGTAACGATTATTAATTAGAACACATAGTTACATAATGATTCTGTTGGTACTCTTCAGTATATAGGTGATATTACTGGAGGGCAGACGTTTCATTTCACTCAAGTCTAACACGTGGTTAATTATTTATAGCTTCAATTCTCGGCCATGTCGTGTTCGTTAATTGTTGTACATTGGAGCCGTATAGAGGTGCGTTTTAGCACCCAACCAGCACAGAACAAAAAGGGTCACTTTCAGTCGGTCCTTTGTTGTGGTCCGATCAAAGCATTTTCGATAACCTTCTGGGAAATTTCAATGTCAGTTTGATTAAGTGCTCCTGCGAGGGCTAATTCCCTTTCCACTCGCACCTTTGATGTCACTTTGCACATGGACGACCGTGAAATGAATGTTGCCGGCGTGCAATACGACTTTTATTAAATAAAGCAACGTAGCAAGTGCATATTTACGGGACCATTTTGTTCTGCGACACTCACGAGGCTAATTAAATTTATTAAGCAGTTGAAATGAATTTTTTATTTAAAATAAGACAGTACATTTCGTTAGCTCTTCAAATTTCAATAATAATGCGGCAAAGCAGCCCAGTGAAAAAAATTATTTCCGCGAGCACTAGACACAAATGTTAATAATTAAAAATATATTAAATGTAAATATCAGAGATATTGGACTTAGTTGCATTCCATAAAGTTGTTTTTCTACTCCCGTCTGTAAAATACCTAATTACCCACCGATCTAGCGTGCGGGAAGCGTCACTTTGCCACGTTAGTTTCGTTGCCCATGAATCCGAGTCACTTCGGACATTTCCGGGATTTTACTGTACGAATTTGGGAGCAATCGGATGTTTTCGGAGATATTTCCCACGCTTTGAATTTTGACGATTGTCAATTCTGACGGTCATGTCAGTGAATGTATTCTTGTTGTTTTGCGAAAATCTACGCAAAAACTAACGGTCGTAGAAAAAGTATAGTATGCGACACGTTCGGTAAACTTTTTAACTCACTCGTTTATTAAAAACTCGCTCCGCTCGTGTCAAATAAACTCGTCAGTTAAATGCCGTTTACCGCACTTGTTGCATAACATACTATTGAAAAAAACGAAATAACTCGTTTTTCATGCCAGTTATTTTAAACTATTTTTTACGTAGATTGCATCGAAAAAAAAACTGGCAAGCAACTTGGTAAATGATGAGTTCTTAGCTTATGTTAGTTAAGAAAATCATATTAATAAATGTTAATACAAATTTTTCTTTGGCACCAGTATTATTTCTAGTTTTATTTTATATTGCGGTAAAGAGTCCTGAAGAAGGTAATAATATTTCTGAAAGTTTCGCCAAATAAGACTTTGATTTTGCAAAAACCCCGCCGAAAACTCCTAATATCGAAAGAGAGGCTGTTCAGCTTTTGCTTTTCAGGCATGAATTATTCCTCACTTATAATTTTCCATTAGTGTTTTTTAAAATAAACTTAGATTGCTATGTAATTGAAACATTTTAAGAATAATAAGTTTCCTAAATCTTTTAACGATATATGGTATTAAAATTTGAAATACAATGTCAAAAATGGATTTTGATGCAACTTGAAACAGGTTGAATCCATACCCGATTAAAACAGAAAAAGTTCCAAACACATTTATCGTGTATGTTTGTCAGATATTTTATTTGGGTACGTTTGTTTGTCTTGCGCACTTTTGATGTGGTGACCCATCGCTTAGTAGAATTGAATGGAATACCTTTCATACATGAATGTGCCATCTTTAGCTGCTACTTGTCCACTAGAACAGCAGTTAGATCGACATTATGTCGTGCTGTTATTATTCGATATTATTATTATTATCATTTGGAAACTTTGAGTTTATAATTTTTTCCCTGCGTTTTTGTTGTATTACGTCTTTTTTTCTTCTCCATCACTATAATAATCTTTACTTTCGTAAATTAGTCAATTTGTAAATAGTCAAATAAAATCTCTCTGCATTTCAAAAACTGAGTGGGCCGCACTATTTGTACCAAATAGTTACTAGATGTATAGCTAATTCTGATAATACGGAAATTTTTGAGGCGACGATGAAAAAAAAATCGAGGCGGACCATTTAATACGTGCGGTCATTTTAAATTTTTGAAGGCAGTATTTTCTCAAAATGTTCCCAGATCTCGTTGAACATGAAAATGATGTGTTGGTTAATTTAATATGTATTGGATTGTCACTGAGTGCAGTAGATTTTTTCCAGTTTTTTTAGTTTCAATGAATTACGTCCACGTTTTGCTTTTAAGATCAAAATGTTCATCGCCAACGCTAAATTGCTAAACAAGGAGCAATTTTTAAATGAAATATGATTAATTTTGCTGAAATATTTATGTATTTCGCCTATTTTCCGTTCGTTATTTAAAAATAGAGTATTAGAGATGAGTAGAACGAATTGAAAATCGTTAGGGAGTGACTTTACTTGCACCTCTGTTACTTACCTAAGAATTAAACGGTGACTGCAAAATTTAAAGATTAATTAAACAAAAAAAAGAAATACATAATTTTTAATCAGCCAAATGGAATAATAATGAGATGCCAATGAATGCATATCCCGTACGTTCAATTTATTTTGATAACAATTTGTTTTTAGAGATATGAAGGTAAACAAAAAAACTAAATGTAGGGTTAGTAGCCAAGTTTTTTTCCAAGTGACGTATAAAAACGAAACGCTGTCAATTTTCTGACATATTTCAGTGCACTTGTTTTTGACAAATCGGCAAAAGTGCAACCGCAGCTCGCCGTCCGTATATTAGACTTTATCTGGACCGCCGAGCTATTTCAAAACAGATACCTATTTCCAAGGCTGGCAAAGGAATTTGCAGAAAACGGTTTTGAAAACTCAAAAACTAAGTGCAGAACAATGCCAAAGGATGATGCAGTTTTGTTTGGATTTTTTAAATAGACATACTGAGAACAATAATTTTTTGAAAATGATTTTATGAACTGATGATGAAAATTCATTCAATACAAGAAAGGGTTATTAGAAAAAATACGCGATATTGTCCAACCAATCAATTAATGTATGGTGTGGTGTCATAGATGGGCATATTTTGGGTCCAACATTTATAGATCAAAAGTTAACTGGGGATCATTATTTGAAACTCTTAGAGCACCAAATAGAACAATATATAAAAAATTTACCCCTAAATATATCAGCGCTGATTATATATTAGCAAGAGCAAGATGGTGCCTCTCTTCACAATGTTGAGTAAGTTAAAAATTTTCTTAACATGGAATATTCCAGGTGCTGAATAGGGAACGGCGGAATAATGGATTGGCCAACCAACAGCCCTGACTTAACTTTAATGGATTTTTTCTTGTGGGACACAAAAAATCGCGGGAAAAAAACTCCCTGTAATAATGTCGTGGAACTTCGGCAAACGATTTCAGAGGCAATCAATCAATTAAGAGACAATCCGGAAACGTTACTAAATGCAAAAAGCATACAATTAGAGTGTGTGAAAAATGGAGCATTTAGAATAGTTAAAGAAGTTTTTATTTTACTTAAATTTGAAAATTTTGCTTTACTTTAATTTGTAAATAATTATTGTTGTTGCAGACACTCACGGCACTCTGTGAAATTATATAAAAATTTACTATTTTTGCCGATTTGTCAAAAACGAGTATTACATCATTGAAATCGGAATAAGATATTCTATTAAACACATATATAATATACAGGGTATTACATTTAAAAAAGTATGATGTAGGCTTATATGTCAGTAAACTGATAGTATTTTGTTTTAAACGTCGCTTGGAAAAAAACTTGGCTACTAACCCTACATTTTGTTTTTTTATTTACCTTGATATCTCTAAAAACAAAAAAGTTGCAGTCACTTAAAATGTTATCAAGATGAATTGAACGCACGGTACATACAAACGAATCACTATTGAATTTACAACTTGCGAAATAAATATTTAATAAACATCTACATTTTGCTAACTTTATTAAATATATCATCTACAAATTATAACAGGAACTATTAAAATTTTACACTTTCAACACACAGTAAATTTAAAATGTTTTTAATTAGTACAATACTTTCCGATGTTATAAATCGTTTGAGGAGAGCACATAAAGGAGCATTTACAAATTTCACAAAAGGTACATATTTTCATTCTTATTTATTAAAGTTGTGTAGTTTTTCAATTTTTTTTTTTGGAATCTTGCAAATTCTCCGCCTATAAATTGAAATGTAAAAATAACTATTTGCAGTACAAGTGAGTAAAATATTTTCTTTTCCTGCCTGGACATTTGTGAAAAAGATGCAAATATGATTATTTCCACCATTGTAAAACGTAGGCACTACAATGATTATTTAACGGAATGCGATGTACGGGATCAATTAATGGGCTTGTGTATTGTGCTCGCTTGTGAAGAAATAAATTTATTTTACTGACTTGTGATTCAACAGGTCGTTTTGCCTAGGATTTTAGGTTTAATTCGTCTTTTCAAAAATGTTTGTATATTTTGTTGGCCGTCAGATTGCACTGTTAAGGCCCAACAGCAAATTTACTGCCTACGTTTTCGTAATATAAATTCAATGTTGCCATAACCTGCTGATATAGGACGACATACACTATTAATCAGATTGTTTCAGGATAAATCCCACCCTGTTGATTTTCGATTTTTCGACCTAGTATTAAAAATTACATAATTTACGTTAAAACATCCTTCATTTCAATTTTAATCATACTTTTTAGCTAGTTATTTTCCATCAGTCCAGAAAATAAAACAGCCAATATCCGGCGTTGAACACCATAAACGTGACAGGAAATATTATCCGAGAATACTTGTCTATGACGTTGACGTCTTTGATTTTCGGCATTGAAACTTTCAAAACTAAGGCTCCCTTTTTGATGGCGTTGAGAACCTTTGGTTTGTGGACTGGCGTACCTAAATTAAGAGTGAAATGAAAGATAGCACTGAGTCCATTGATGTATGCTTACCTCTCTTACCTCTATATCTTAATCCCGGGGATCTGTAACTATACGATAATCCCGACGACCTAGATCGACGAAAACTTGGCGGGAAATTGGAAAAGTCGAACTCGCCCGTTCCTAGGCAAGACGAACTGTTTCTCCTTATGGACGGTATGGGACTCATCCTTATATCGTGTAACTCTATGATATCCTCAGGAGTGTACTGTTTAGGCTGTTGTTGATTTTGGTCGACCACAGGTGCAGTGTTGGTCCCTGGTACTGGTTAAGATACAATAATTAAAAAATAAATCAGAGAATATTAATGAACCACATGTTACTAGTAAAAATATTTCTCTTATGCAAACGATTTATTTGTTGGATTATATCATCAACAATTAGGGAGTTAGGGTCAATTTTTTTACATATCCCAAGGAATTTTAGACACATCAAGCTGTCATTTTGCAATTTTTGGCAAAAATATCAGTGATGGGACTTAGAGGATCGATTATTAGAACTTTATGGGTTTTAGTGGGTATTAAATTTTCTACAATACGCAATTTTATATACAACATACTACAAAAATGCAAATGCAAAGAAGTATAGTATACAAGTACTCGCTCTACTACAAGGGGGAAATCTTGCCGAATCAAACACCAAAATGGCGTTTATCAATTTTGTTGCATAATATACTAGCACTTTTCACCATTCTATTTCTATTTATTGGAACCTACTTTTATGTTCCTATGCAAGTTGGATTTAGGAATCATATGACTACACTAAAATATTTTGGTACGCACATAAAAGTGCAAAACAATGGATCATATAAAAATCTCATATCTATTTGTGATAATTGTCTGCATAAAAGATTATTAAAATATTGTTAAAATGTTTCAACTTAATGGACTATAAAAATAATCTTTGACAATTGAATACTAATTTCGTGAGATTTTAAAACGACTATTACTGTATTGTCAACCATCACGAAAATTTATATAAATAGCTTTCCAATCCACAAACGACCGATAAAAAATGAGCAACAGCGCTACAATGAAATCTTTGATATTTTCACTGGCGTTTTTTCTGATTATCGGTACGTATTAAAAACACCTTTGCAACCAAATGTTCACAACAATGTTTTAGGGATCGCAACAAGTGCATATGCTAGTGTCGACAATGCAGGTGAGTAAAGTTGAATCTGAGATTTCAAAAACAGTAGAATGGTAGTTTGTTTGGCTTGCTTTGTTATTGCGATGTTTTAAGAATAAAAGATATAAACTTATAGTGTCGAATTTGATTTTCAAAATACAGGACAATTTTGAACCTTTTAAAGTTTTTAACGTTCTTAAAAATTTAATTGTATTACCTTACCTTCCTCGGTTTTTTTCACTGTAATAAATCGTGTAATCACTACATGCCACTAGGGTACAATTAGGGCCGAAAAATATTGGCATATTTGCCGCATTTGTAGACTAAACGCCGAATTTAATTTCTTGTTCTTCAGTACTGTGGTACTGTAGAAGTATGGATGCTTGGACAAATAAACACAATAACAACAATTAAGCTTGTTTGACAATACAATGACACTTAACGTATATATTTTTAGGAGAGAAGCCCAACTCAATATCATCACTTTTTCTGGCACCTATTTCAGCAGTACTCAAAGATATCGCCGAAATGACGCCCTCCACTACTCGTAAGTAACGAACTAGAGTTTACAGTTTTTGGTTATTGTTGGATAAAGGACCTAGGTTTTACTTTTATTATACTTTTTCCGAGTTACTTCAGAAAATAAACAAAAGCGGTAATGAATGATTACATGAAAAATAATATTTGCTCTTCCAGCATTTCAACCGTTCACTTCGATCTGGGACAAGCTGTTGTTGTGGTTGTCCGGAATAATATCATTCCTGAGTCAAATACCTGCCCCGGGGCTTCCGTAACAGACCTTCATCAGATCGCATCGCAGTACAGTAGTTGTTGCAACTATACACCTTGTTAATACAAAAAACAAATTTGTTTGATGTACAAAAAAATGAATATTACATACACCACAGTATTAGTTTGTTTACTCTCGCCTCCAAAAAACTGAAAATTGCGATTATTTATTGACAAACATATTTGCTGTCATATAAAATGAGAGCTCTCGGAGACAGGATGGGATCTTTTTTTGTATCTAGCTGGTGAAATAATAAACGTGCGCAAAAGGGAAAACTTAACCACGAAGAGAAAATATTTGTCCATATGTTAAAAAATACTTTTTAGGTATGAAGAATGATCCACATTTTATTTTACTAAAGCTGCGAAGCAAAAATTTGCTACAATTGCACCCACCTATAGAAAGATAGAAAAAAAAGTGTTTGAAATTTTTTGCTCTATTATCTTATGCAAATGTCAGAAAAAACATCTTTTTTTTTTTTAAATGGTATGCCCTATTAGCTTTTTTTCGTGATTTTAAAAACATATCGTTTATTGACATTTCATTTCGCCGTTTTTGCGTTATTTCAGTTTAATTATAATTATCATTCGATTTCTGGATAACAGCCATATTGTTTAAAAATGGTCAAGTCTGCCTTGATGTTTGCAATTGTTTTAACAATGGTCTACTTTTGACAACTAATCAAAACTAAATCTCTGCAGCGTAAGTTAACTTAAGATATTTCAAATGGGTTTTACTGAAGAACAAAAACGCCAAATAATATGGTTTCTATCAAGTCAGACTTCACCATTTTTAAACCATACAGCTAAATAAAATGTCAATAAACTACATGTTTTTGAAATCAGAAAAAAAAGATCTACAATTTAAGCTAATAATATATAGGACATTCCATTAAAAAAATAGATATGTTTCTGTCATTTTGACAGCTTGATATCATCGTTTGTTTTTTCTGACATTTGCATATGATAATAGGTGCAGGTGGATGTAAGAATATAATGAATATTTATTCAAATATTAATCCAAATGGGATTACCTGGTTTATTTTCTTCACCCTCCTTGTTCTTCTTGCTTTTCTTTTTTGCCCGAGCCCCCCAGTATGTGTAGTTAACGGCCGCGTATTCCAAAAGCGCGGCAAAAACGAATACAAAACACATAACCAGGTAAATATCGATCGCTTTGACGTAACTTATACGCGGCAGGGAACTTCTCACGCCAGTACTGATGGTGGTCATTGTCAACACAGTAGTTATACCTAGAAAGAAGGCAATAAATACAAGCACGGGATTTTTCTACGATTTAACATACCCAAGGCTACCCTAGCACTAGTCGCTTCGTGGTTGATCCAAAATGACACCCAAGAGAGCATTACGATTAAAATGCTAGGAAGATAGGTCTGGAATATGAAGTAGCCTATATTCCTCTGTAGCTTGAATGATAACGATAACCGCTGGTAGATACCTAGAAATTCGCAATTTCGTATTCAATAGGTACTTCCAAAAAACACGCAACAGAACCGACCTGTTGCCAGTTTCTCTTTCCTATCGTTAGTTTCGTAACCTATTATGGTAAATTGAGGTAATTCTGCTTCTTCTACTCCTCTGACGGGTCTGTCCATCCAGTACATAACGACATCCATTACGGTATAGCCATCTGCGGTCAAAGAGTGATTTAGACCACTTTATCGTGCTGTCTTGCAAGTCATCACACCAGGCATGGTGTTTGGAAATGTGTCAATGGCGCGAAATAATGTTAAAACCGTCGATTGCAAATAAGGCTTGTTTAACTCCAAGCCACAATTATTTAAATTTATTATCATAAAATTATGAAAAAAAAATGACTACATGACTTCAAATGCAATACTCGCTATTTTATTAGTTTTAAAATAAGCGCGTTGTTTGTTGATTGACAATAATTTGCGCATGTAAAATTTCATGTTAGCAAAAAAAATATTCTGCATTAAAATGGGACTTTGCGTTAATAATTCGTATTTAAATGGCCGCGCACTTACAGCTTTCAATTTCCACAGTGCAATTTTGCGAATCCAGAGGATAATAGTGTAGATCCATCATGCACGCCAATGTAGTGGTGAAACGCATCCCATATGTAATGGATCCCTCTCCGTTTAGCCTCACTAGTTTGTTTCGTTCCGTTACGTCGTGCAGAAAACTGGAAATAATGGAAATTCTATCTATACGACAAAAGTCTAATGATACGAAATAAGAACTCCAGACAAAATATATTCAATTGCATATCGATGTCGGTATATTTCAAATTATGTTCATATTTTCATAGTTCAATAATTCCATCAAAAAAATCTTTATTTTCCATATCAGATATAAGCATTTCCAAATTGGCAATATTATTAGCTTTTGAGATTTCACATCGAAGTTGCCAATTAAACGGTACAGGATATATTTTTTGCGCTGAAAGTTGACAGTTAATTGATTGACTCTGTTCGATTTGCCCCATCAAAAGTGGGTTAAGTGGCTTTTTGTAGCCGCCATTGATGATCTAACAGATTTTTCGAAAGTAAATTAATGTAAAGAGCCGTCTAAAGGTACTTTGCGGTCGATATAGCGTAAAATTTTATGTCGAACGCCGATTTCCAATGAAATTACGTAATAAACGTTGGCGGCGCACAATGCATCACAAGTGCCGTAACAATAATATACCTTTGCTAAGTTTTCTTAATTTTTTTTGATATTATCAAGGATCCCAATTGGAAATAGTCAAAAAAACTTACTAACAAGAAAAGTAAAACTATGACAATAAGAAAACATTCTAAATCAGAAGTGACTGAGTTAATAAGCAAAGCAAGAAATGAATTAGATTCTCTATGGAATAGAGGGATTGACCCACACTTATACACATGCATTTGAAATATGCTGTTACAGCAAGGCGAAAACAAAATTGTAATACGGAACCGCGACATTCATAAAATAATATTAAAAAATATATAAGATAATGAAAAACTTGTTGGGTTTCAGATCGTCCTTATATTTGAAATGTTCAAATGAATTGAATGTGAATTAGATAAACGTATCGCTTTATAAAACTACGCGTACTTTACCTATTCTTGTCGTTGGCAAAAAATGTATCTGGAACCCATATTTTCTCGGCAAAATCCCCTGACAACGTAAGGACTTCTTCCTGGTCGCTAAAGGCTAAACGTTCGTCTTTCCAATATTGATTCAGATACAGCGTAATGGTATAATCCTGGAAAATATTGCATCCTCAGAGTGTATATAATTTCCTGTCAATGTCTATAAAAGACCGTCGAAAGCCTCCGGTCGGTCTCGCAAATATTTATTGTAAAAGCTAGGGCCAATTCGACCAAACTATTTATAAAACGCTGATATGATATTTCAACTTTATAACTCTTACGTTCAAATTACCAGAATTTGCGATTTTTGAAATTGATGTCAATTTTTATCAACTTTGAGTACGGTTTAGAAAAATGCAGTCCCGCATACCAAACATCTTAAACTCCATTAAAAACTTGGTTTAACATTGCCTAAATTAACCGAAACGATTCTCGTATACTTAATTTATTGTTTAAATATATTTCGGGCAATACTTGTCTAACCCAAAAACTGTTATAATCCTAAAAATTTGTCAAAGAATGGCATTCTATACCTTGCCCGTAGGCTTAACCCGAATTATGTTAATATTTCGTCGAAAGGCCGAGACGTGATCTACGCTTCAAGAATTTAATTAAAATTTCAATGATAACCCAATCGATTATTCCTTCATTAAATTTTTTACGATAAAATACAAACTACGCGTTTCTAGGGAATTTAATATAAAACTTTAGCTTAAAATATAACAAAACATAATACTTGCCATGTTTACTTCCGATATGGCATCAAAACTGGCAATCGTGAGATCCATTCCGACCAGCAATGGTTCACCTGCAAATTTTAATGTTAAAAACGCTAAGCTTGAAGCTGATTAAGTAAAGCCAATCTAATTAAATTTATTACATTAAGTCAATATTACTACAGTGAGACTGTAGTAGCAGTGAGTTGCGTCGGAGATTTTCCTTTAAGATAATATTCAGTAAATATAGTACATACCATTTTTTTATTGCATTTCTCTCGACCTGTTTATCTTTTAATTTTTCTTTCTCAAATCTTTTTTGCTTGAGGACTATATCGTTTTTATAATAGACAAATGCTAATAATAGAACATTCGAAAAACATGTTTATCTTCATCTCAAGGAAATTATTGAACCTGTTTATATGCTTTTTGTAAATAAATGTTTGAGCTAAACTTTACTTGTAACTGGTGCTTTTTCGAGCAAATTTTGTATCGAAGAAATAAATAAAGAACAAGTTCGAAAGATAATTTATAGTATGTAATTGATTCGACACAAAAATAAGTGTAATAGACGAAACTAACATTACGTGCAGCAAAATAATGGTTTTAAATATTGCACAATAAATAAAGGCAGCCATCAGAAGTAATATAGTTTCAGATGGGGCTATGAAAGTGCCAAAAAAAGGTCTTCAAACAAGGATTACAATTATGTATGCGGAATTTACAAAATTAGTTCCTATCTTATACCCTGCAAGAAAAATATTATCGATCCGTAAGGATATTGTATATCCCAAGGGAAATCCAAAGAATGGAACTGACATACAAAATGCTCGGCGCCTCAACACACGTTTACTGCTTGTAAATTTGTAACAAATATGCCATTCAAATTTTCTAATTTTGCATGTGCTATAATTTCATAAAAAGCGTTGTAGATACATTCGTTAGGCTTTGGTGAAAGTAATCATAAATCAAAGAATATAATCAATTTAACTGAACTACAAAACTATACTCATACAGTTTTATACGGCAGTATTATAACTTATAACAAAAGCAAATCAAATGAAACCACCTAAATGCTGGTGGTTTTCGTAGGCGTATCTAAAATGTACTTTAAATTTTACCGTTAGCTTCGTCCATTTCAAAATTAAGCTAGATCCGTTCGTCGCTTAAGAAGGAAATTGAACTCTCGATTTACTACAGACATTCACCGAAACCGCCTATTTGTGTCTTTAAGGCAAATTCGGTGCTCGTCGAAGCAGAAACTGCTCTAAATTAAAGTATTTGCGTCTGACACGTTTAATTTAAAATATCCGCCTTTGTGATATTTCTCTGAGTCGTCTTTGAAAACCGGGACTAAAATAAACAATCATTACCTCCAAAATCTGGTCTCAGTCGAATATCGTATCCGTCTAGAAGTTTGGATATGGTCTGCGTGACATTGTCCAGTCTATCAGACACTAAACTCCTTCTATCCCTGAAATTAATGTGTCCCAAATTATAAAAAATTTGTAAAACGTTCAGATCATATTATTTGTTTATTTTCCATTTTTCAAAAGTCGTATATACTTGTAACATTTTTCTTTAATTGCTTTTTAATTTGATTTTGAGCAATTTTCTTTGATAGCAATAGTAATTTGTTAAATATTGTTATTATTTGCTAGACGGTGATTCATATAACAAACAAATAAGCCGATAATTGTAAAATTTTGTAATTTGAATTTTTAATGATTCATTATAAATTTGCTAATTTTGAAACCACATTTTAATACTAAATATAATTAGATGCCAGCTGAAAAATAGGGAGGGAACCTGACTTGTTTAAAATAAAATAATATTAAATATGGTCACCATAGCCATTTAATTTTCTGTATTAATAACATTATTCATAAATTACTACCATTCTTAAAATAATTTAATAATGAATGAATGTATGATGAATATGTAGTATTTTTCTACTCACCTATCAATTGCTAAAGTCAAGGAAACAAAAAAACACAGCCACAGAACGATGTTTGTTAAAAAATTTAGCACCATAGTTCATAACTTAAGAAAATCGCTTAAAATCTCGGTCATTTTTATTTGAACAATTCACTCACTCCGAATATGTTTTTAAAATTACCAGTCTAACTGTGTTTATACATTTTACTTGCTTAAAACTCGCAAACAGCACGAACAGTTCGATTTACACACAAAGATTAATGGAGGGGTTTTAAAATTATATGATTTAATATCGGCATTTTACTAAACGTATTCTACGTACAACCCTCTCCGATCTTAGTTCAACAAGCGTGATAGAGCCCAGGGGGCGCAAGCGTAAAGATCGCTGCCCGACTCGCGAGAGATTTTGGAAGCGCTTTGCTCGATATCTATACCGGATGTTGCAAAAGCTCCAACATTAATAATATATTTGCCGTTGTAAGTCGTAAAAAATGCCTCTCCGGAAAAAACTAAATTTTAAATATACAATTACAATATTTCTTCGTGCAACTTTTGAAATTTGTATGTTTGACAAAGTCCAAAAAACATAAGAATGTAGTAATTTTTTTAACTTATTAATCGAGAGTGCAGTTTCTCCTACAAGTATTTTCTCAAATATATCAAGCGAAATAGTTATATCGCTTAAATTGATCGCATAAATTGAACTTTACCAATTATTCTAAATTGATACAAGTTTGGCATTGTGTTGAGATATTTATCCCTTGTGAGAATAGTTTCAATCCGATATTTCTTGTGAATGGTCTCGATGTTACTTAACTCAATTCTGAACAATAACGAACAGTTTTCTATTAATTTTGACAATGAAGATCGATATTTTTTTATGAAAAAGAAGTAAATGCTAACGTCACCAACAGTAATTTTTTTTGTAAAATATCTTTACTATTAACACTAAATGTAAGGTAATCGATCGATTCCGGTTCTTTTCATTTAATTTTCGTTTCTGCTTGGCGTCACTCCTTAGGGACTTTATTAAAGAAGTACTGTCTCGACTAATGGAAATCAAATACTTAGGCAGCTTCAGGATGAAAAATATTCTTATGTGAATTCAACGCACGATATATTGTTGTGGGATATCATTCTTTCGTTTGTTGAACTGCGACTGGAATCCTGCAGACGTTTCGCCAAGATCCCAATTAGCATCTTAAATGCTCGCGCTCCGAAAACACTTCGAACACTGAGTGTTTTATATCATTCCTACCGATTCGAGGTGGTTGAGCAATACATCATTTTGAAGCTTTCATAGGTGGCTCTTTAATGGTCTAATTGAATATCTGTGACGTCAGATTTTTTTGAGATAGTTATACATCTTCCCGACGGTTTCAAGGTGGTTGAGTAATACATCATTTGGTCTATTTCAATATCTGGGACAACGTCACATTTTCTTTGAGATTGCGAAATAATTATAATGAACTTTTGGGTATTTCATAATTGAGGGTAGTTTTATATATTCCCGACGTTTTCAAGATGGTTGAGTAATAAATCATTTTGAAGCTCTCCTAAGTGGCTCTTCAACGGCCTAATTGAATATCTTTGAGGACGTCAGATTTCTTTCTAATTGCGAAATAAATATAACGAATTTTTGGAAATTTTATTATTGGGGGTAGTATTATATCTTACCGACAGTTTCAAGGTGGTTAAGCAATACAACATTTTGAAGCTCTCCTAACTGACTTATCAATGGTCTTTTTGAATCTCTGGGACAAGGTTAGATTTTTTCGAGATTGCGCAATAGTAATTAAAGTAATTTATTTTTTGGGGTGATGCGAAGGGAAAAGGGGTTCTTTTCTGTATAGCAACATTGGATATGGTTTTTGGGAGTTCCTTTACAATATTTCCATGGTTACTTTCCCGGCATTTCCACAGGAATACGTTTTTTTAATTAAGGTATTATTAATTAAGGTAAGTAAGGTATTAAGGTTACTGGTCCACTGTCATATTCTCAAATCCGAATCCAAATCCAAATCTAACTTCAGCCACATAAACATATTTTACTGCGATTGTCAAGCAGTAATATGAGAGATGCATTTAAATGATCACATCAACCACCAAGATACCGTTTATAACTAGAGTTTAGATATAGAATGTTTATAGCATTATGGTAAATGTGATATAGTGCTTTCATAGTTAAATTGTTTTGACCTAATGACTTCAATAAGAAGGGGTGCTACCTGACTTTTAATATTAACAGCATTAGTCGTCTTTGTCAAATATTGATTTTAGAAAACTCGGCATGTTTCGTCTGTGGGAAGACATTCTACTGTTAGAAGTTAGAGTCTTAACGCTATTGTTAGTTGGTTAAGCTACTGAATCGTGTGAAAAAAAAAACTGTCAAATCTCATTAAAACAAGAAAGAAGCGTAAAGATTTGGGTTCCAGTATATATTCTGGCGTGTGCAAGCACCTACCCTAGGAAGTTTGAAGGAACGACTTGTTAATGGAGAATAAGCTGCAGAATTACTAGCCTTTGTTCACAATGGGTTTTCAATATCATTCTTCGGAAAAGTGTAGAACAATCTCTTGGTCTAATAAAGGTAAATACTTTGTGGCTCAACGGCAGAATTTGTTAAAGAATGGTTCAAGTTTTGTCTTCTACACAACATTCTTCAGAATAGCGTTATAGTAATATCTCAGTTGTACATAAGGTTCTCCAGGGTTCAATAATGCAAAGTTCAAAATTAAATTACGGCATTTCCGAGATTTTACCGCACGGGTTTCGGAGCAATCGGATGTTTCCGGAGATACTTCCCATATTTTGAATTTTGACGTTTGTCAATTCTGACGGTCATGTCAGTGAATGTATTCGTGTTGATTTGCGAAAATGTACCCAAAAACTAACAGTCGTAGAAAAAGTATAGTGTGCAACACATTCGTTAAACTTTTTAAGTCACTCGTGAGCCAAATGCCGTGAACCCCACTCGTTGCATAATATATTAATTTTCTACTCCCGTCTGTAAAATACCTAATTATCCACCGATCTAGTGTGCGGGAGCGTCACTTTAACACGTCAGTTTCCTTTCCCATCAATCCGAGCCACTTCGGACATTTTCGGGATTTTACCGCACGGATTGGGAGCGATCGGATGTTTTCGGAGATACTTCCCACGCTTTGAATTTTGACGTTTGTCAATTGTGACGGTCGTGTCAGTGAATGTATTCGTGTTATTTTGCGAAAATGTACCCAAAAAGTAATGGTCGTAGAAAAAGTTTTAAAAATTCCGTTAACCATGTTATTATTGTAGAAAAATCTTATAACACTTTCAGTCATACTGTAAAAAACCATTATAATTAATTTACGTGAAGATAGTAACAGCGACACAGAATAATATATATCTATGTATTATAATGTAGGTGTTGATGTAGATAGATATCAAATGGGCATAAGAAAAATATTTTAAACCGTGTTTTGTTAAAATTTTGCATTTCATTAAATTAATTATAAACCTTTTCCGTCGGTATCCTTCTTTTCTTCAGAAGTCCGACCTGGCACTACATATTTTCGCTTTGCTTATTTACAGCAAGTTTATTGCCAAACCATTTATCTATGAAAGCACTATACTTGTCTACTACCACTTTTCTCAAAAGATGTGTTCTAATAACCAGTATTAATGGGACAATCTACAAAACTATTGTAAGTCATTCCTTTTCTTAGCGAAAAAGATTGTATCTGTCGGCATCTATATTTGCAGTTTATCAATGCTGCGTATAATTTATGTAATGGCAACGAGTTATATCTGCATACTAACTATATTTATTTTGTATTAAAGCTCGTCTTATCGATAACGCCATACATACAAGCTGCCTAAATAGTTCATGGCGCTGTAAAACAATCCTTTTTATCCCTTAATTGTCTAGTCAAGTATGTCAAGTCTAGGTGTTTTAGTTTTTAAGTAACTTTTTGGTTATAGCAACTAGGCAAACTAAACCACTAGTTCCCCAGCAAACGTTGTTCAATTCTACCACTTTATTTAATCCAATCGCCGACCTAATCCGTATTAAAAAACTTCCTGGACAATGCCTGTTGTATAACGAGCGCATGTCACTGAAACTTCCTGAAATTGTTTTGAAAGTTTGAGAGCGCGCGCAACATCCCACAACTTTCTTCTTACTTTTCGGAGTTACATCTCCGCGTGAAGAGAACCGGCGTTAAACATTATTAACGGTACATTAAGAACACTTCCACGAAAATGTGCCCAAAGATGTTATTAGTAGCGGTGTACTTTATGATTATTTGGTGAGTCTCGTTCTTAGAACAGATTTTTGGCTGATTTAAAGCATGCATATAATGAAAACGATTTATATAAGATTTGAAACAATGTGTCCTATCAAGTCGGAACCATATAGAAAACTTTTTTTATTTCAAGTTTTATCAAGTTATTTTTTAGAAACAGTCCTGCATGGTCCAAAACTTAAACTCCAACCATCAGATGTAAAATTTGCTAAGCGAGATTTGTCGAAAGTTAATCAAAATTGAAAAAATAAACGCAAACTTTGTAAATTACCCGTCATCTTTAAAAAATGACCTTTGATATTTTATTTTGAAAATAACAAGATTAAAAATGCAAACTAATACATTATAAGTGACATTCTTACCAATAACAAAATCAAAACTTTTTTTTTACAAATTATTTATATATATATATATATATATATATATATATATATATATATATATATATATATATATATATATATATATATATATATATATATATATATATATATATATATATATATATATATATATATATATATATATATATATATATATATATATATATATATATATATAAATTTATAAATTATCAATTACCAGAGAAATTTATAAAAATTATTTTCAATTTTCAATTGCGATCAACTCTCTAATTTGAAAACGTTTTTTAAAGCCTAATAGAGGCAGGAATACCAACAAATATTAAATTAATCTAACATACCAACTGCAAGAGTAAGAGCATTAATTAGTAAAGTAGTAAAGAAGTGAGAGATGGTTTTGCTTCTTAGTTTAAGAGTTTTCTTAATTGCTAGAGTTATTTCTCCCATTAACTGGTTGTTGTGCAACTAAGGTAGTTAGCTGACACTAAGGACATTTACCAAAAGCGGTTATCATCTTATTAATATTACGAAAAGTTGACAACCACCGAGTGCCGAAACCATAACTTTTATTGTGGATTAAAATTAAAATTAAATTAACTATGGTGCATGGTTTTTTACAGAAACGTCTTAACCTGCCTTTAGCTAATCCAGATGTATGTTCTTAAATCCTATATCTTTCTT